ATGTGGGGTGGGCTTGTGACTACCAAGCCTAGGGGGTGTGTTGAAATTATATTTTATATATATAATTGTAGGCTTGGTAGGTCTCGCTGGATCCTACTGTAGAGTGTACAACTCCCTCCTTGTATCCCTCTCTCTTCTAATCCCAATCTCTTCTCTCTCGACAATCCCTCCTAGCTAAACCCTCTCACGCCATTCCATGGCTCATTCCCTAGACTAGCTTGTTTAATAGAGGGGCCCTAGCTGCACCAGTGATCATGGGTGTACAACGGATACAAAAAACTTGACTTCGTGAATGGCTTTGGCATTGAAGGAGGCAGGAGGACTCTCCATATGATATGGGTGTGCAGCAGCATTAGTGGTAGGTACCCGTTACAAGCTCTCCAATGAAAGGACAGAAATGTTCCTTCTTTCTCATGAACCTGTTAAATCATATATATATTATTATATATATGTTTGATAGGCTTGGTAGGTGTGCGACATTGCTGAATCCTACTGTATAGGGGACAACCCCCCCTTCTTGTATCTCCTTCTCTTTCTTAGTGCATCTTTTTCTCTCGTCAACTTTCTGCCCCCTAGCTAAACCTCTCGCTAGTCCTATGCCTAGTTCCTAGCCCTATCTTAACATGGTATCAGAGCAGGCCCTTCCGCTAGAGCCTTCTCCTCGCGCTTCCGCAGCATCCTCTCCTCCCTTCCGCGCCACTGTGGCAGCCATGTTGTGCTGCCATGGCGGCTTCATCGTGCTGCTGTGGCAGCGTCGACGTGCTGCCGCGGCAGCGACGCCGCGCCGTGGCGGCGTCATCGAGCTGCCGTGGCGTCGTCGACGGGCGGCAGCGGGCCGCGCAATGTTTTAGCTCCGGCCAGCTCGCCCGCACGCCAGCCAGCGCCGCGCCGCCATGGCGCCTCGCTGCAGCTTCAGCCCCCCTCCTCTGCATTTCCCTTTCCCCCCGTCGCATCCGATGTCTGTCCCGCGCCGTGCGGCCCTGTCGTTGCTGAGCTGGGCCACGTCGCCGGGTGCCGCGGTCTCCGTCGCCGCCGCCGCCGTCGTCGAAGCCGCCCTAGCCGTCGTCGAAGCCGCCGCCGCCGTCGTCGAAGCTGCCGCCGATGCCGCAGGTGCCGCTGGCTCCGCCGTCGCAGCCGCCGCTGTCGTCGTACCGTCGTCGCCGCCGCCACTGACGTCGCCGCCTTGCACGTCGAGAGGTCGACCGGGCTGGCGACGCCACAGCTGCGCAGGGCATGGGGGGTGCAAGGGTGTGGGGGAGCTGTGTGTGGGGGTGGGCTTGCCACTACCAAGCCTAGGGGGCGACATTGTATACATTTTATATATGTTTGATAGGCTTGGTAGGTGTGCGATATTGCTGAATTCTACAGTAGAGGGGATAACCCCCCCTTCTTGTATCTCCTTCTCTTTCTTAGTGCATCTCTTTCTCTCGTCAACTTTCTGCCCCCTAGCTAAACCTCTCGCTAGTCCTATGCCTAGTTCCTAGCCCTATCTTAACAATGTAGGCCATGAGGATAAACAGCACCCTATAGCATAAAATTTGGAACCTTCCACAACCTTCGTAAGGAATTACCATTCCTCGCTGAGGCTCGCCACAGCGAGTACACGCGAACAGTTCGCGTCCGCAGGCTCGGCCCTCAAGTCACGCGCCAAACCAGCCCCCGTCGACCTCTTCGGCCCCAACCTCATCCTGAGTCGCCCTGAACCCACTTTGAACCCGTCACCCTCAGGACTATCGAGCCCTTGACTGGTCCAACCCTCGACATTCAACTTGGTCAACTCGCACTATATAAGCCCTATGCCTCATTTCTATCAGAACGCTGCAATCACATTCCCCTTGTAGTATTCTGCGCTATACTCTGAGTTGTAATTCATAACAGCTGGTATCAGAGTTGCGTTCCTGCCCATTAGGTTTCGGGTGGGGGAGCAGATCCTATCGGGGAAGGGGGCGGAAGGATGCTGATGGCGAGCGGACGACGCGGAAATTAATTGCGCGGGTGTCTCCGATGCCGTCAGATCCTGTCAGATGGACGGCTGGGATTAACCAGTCCTACCCTTCCACGGTCATAGACAGAATTATTTCCCATCGAAGAGAGGGCGACGTTTTCGCCGTGTTTTTCGGGTATGTTCGTTAGAGCTTTTGTTATTTTCGGGAGTTTCTAATGAAGTGTTCGGATTGGCTTCCGAAAATAGCGAGTCGTCGAGCGGCTGGGTTTCGGTCGTCAGGAGACGACAAGTGCACGGGAGTCCTCGGGCGACCGGGAGTTGGCCGTCAGGAGGGCGCGGGGTAGCGAAATTGGGGGGATGTACGGCGAAGTACGTCAGGCACGCCATGCAGCGGCAGGGTGAACTGTAGCTGTATCGTGGGTCCCGGCGTTTCCGGCAGGCTAGTTGCAGTCGATGGACATTACTACAAGACTGTTTTCGGCAACGGGCAGATCCGACAATTTCGGAACGACACGATCGCACGAGGACGGGTGGGTGTGTAGTTGTGTGGGAGCGCTATACACCACGACGGCCATCTGGAGGTGATGACGCTGTGCTGGAGTGAGTGTACTCAGCGAGGGCGACTTTCCGTATGGGGAGGCGTTTTTCATGGACCAGCGATTCATACCCCCACGATCAACAGAAACGGAGACCACCACCCTTGGGTGTGTATTAAGTGTTCTTCCACCGATCGCTGAAAGCGCTACCTGCCAGGAACTGAAGCAGTGGAAGAAGAACGACGGGAGTACTAGAGCAATTAAGGGTTAGCGGCGTTCGGGCTGCTGCTCGCTCAGCTACGTCGCCCGAATATCACCATCCCCACTAGGTAGCAGTGTCGACTTATTAATCGACGGATCTTGGCTGAATCAGGGAGGTGAACCCGCGAACTACACTGTGCTGATGGATTGTCCCCGAAATTGAAGGCGTAAATGTTGCAGCGAAGTTGAAGGTTTCACCGAGCACAGCAGAAGGAGTTTCCGACTTTTGCGGATGTAGTTTGACGAGTTTCCAACGGAGGAGGGAGCTGTCCAGCGGTCAATAGGCGAGCTGTTTAAAGCTCCCCTGACTAGAAGCGTGCGCACTCCTATCTCTGCGGATTCTCTTAGTTCGTTAAGCAACAGCGAAACAGTTTTGGGTAACCTGTAGTAGCGGCGAGATGGGTGAACGTCTGCACGGCCAGCTGGACAGGGGTACCGGATAATGTTTAAGATTGGGTAACAGCTGGGCGGGGATCGATGGCGTATGATGCGCATTGACCCTGATCGACTGCCAAAACAACATGCCGAGGCGGTGGACTCCGGTGTTCCCTAATATAAAGGGTTCAGTTCATGCGTACAGCTGGTGGAGAAATCATGGGGGCGCTGCTTAAGGACGCCGTGACACCTGAGTGTTTTATGGGTAGCTGTGACGCGGAGTTACGGTATCTGCAAAGTACCGTGTGGTTCCGACATTTTCGCTAGAGCAGTTCAAGGTTTTACAGCTGGAGTTGTGCCCGCTATCAAATGGGGGTACGAGCAACATCGACCGAATTTTGCGGAGTATTCTGGGTATATGGAGCGGAGGGAGAGAAGTAGCTGTTTTGTCTCTTCCCGAATATTTCGGCGTGTACGGACAAAGAAGCTGATGCAGCTGGCGTCATTCGACCCTGGGTTTCGTTCGAGGTTTTCTACCAGAGTGGTTCAGTACAGGTTATAGGTCATCGCCATCGTCATCTTCCTCACGTCACTACCTGCTACCGAAAAAATCTTCAATTCGCCTGATTCGCCCAACAGTGTGAACACGACCCCACCGCATCATCGCCACCATCAAGAGCAGTATCGAAACGAAAATATTTTGCAACAGTACTGTTGGAGCTGTGCTGGGACCAGCTCGCAAGCGGTCTTCCTACTCGTGAAGAATTTTCAGTTCGTATGGGAGTCTTCCGGAGCAGTTTCTTCTAATTTTCAAGACCCTTGGCACAGTTTCTCATGAGCAAGAATTACTACTTTGTAGCGTATTTGGGAGTTCTAGCGGTTGGAGTTTTGCAGCGGCATCTTCGAAGCTGAGTATGAGACTTTTAAGCAGCAGCGTAGGATTCTTTCGACTACCTTGGAGCATTGGTTTTCATGGAGTTTTACCTGGGTGGTTGGGAGCTGTTTCTTCTCAAAGGGGGGAGAAGTGTAGATGTGCTGCAATTTTTCGCATGACCCTTGCGGCGTGTTCCATCATCCATATTCGACCGCCATTCGTCGCCGTAACGCTTCCGCACATGATTTCGTTACTTCGTTTATGGAGTTTGCTGACTTTCGTAGGACACGGACGTGCTCTCGCATGTGAATCCAACGACCATCACGTTATTCGCCAGTCATCATTTCCAGATATTCATCTGCTACGTGCCATCATCAATCAACAGCGTTACTGTTTACTGTCCAAGAGTTTTTCGACAGTACCTGTTCGGTCAGCTTAATTACTCGACCATCTTCGACGGCTAAGATTAAAAACGATCGTTTCGACGTTTTCTGGCCCTTGATTTCAGTTCGACCTCAAGCACTCGTCAGGCCGGCGTAATCATTACGCTCGTCACAGGGCTGTTGACTTACAGTCACATCGGGGATTACTCGTAATGACTGTTCAGCCTCGATAAAGGGAGTGCCTTCCTTTAGAAGGTGGGAGAGTGTAAGGAATTACCATTCCTTACTGGGGCTCGCCACAGTGAGTACACACGAACAGTTCACGCCCGCAGGCTCGGCCCTCAAGTCACGCGCCAAACCAACCCCCGTCGACCTCGTTAGCCCCAACCTCATCCCGCGTCGCCCCGAACCCACTTTGACCCCGTCACCCTCGGGACTATCGAGCCCTTGACTGGTCCAACCCTCGACATTCAACCTGGTCAACTCGCACTATATATCAGAACGCTGCAATCACGTTCCCTTTTTAGTATTCTGCTCTATACTCTGAGTTGTAATTCATAACAATCTTGCTCAATTGTAACGAACGTGTGTAACACAATCATATAAACAGCCATATCTGTTCAAATTATATAAGTTATAATTTAATATAGGCTTGGTAGGTTGTTACTGAACCTTTCCGTAGGGGGTACAAACCCCTCCTTGTACTCCCCTCTCTTCTAATCCAACACCTTTTCTCTCCTCAACTTTCCTAGCACCTAAAACCTCTCGCCATTCTCATGGCTCCTCCTAGCTCCTAGCTAAACCTTGTGCCATTCTATGGCTTCCTAGCTAAGCTAGTTTCTGACATGGTATCAGAGCAGTTCGTTCCGCGTGGGCCTGCTCCTCGCGTTTCCGCTGCGTGCTCGTTTCTCTCTCTATCTCGCGCTGCCATGGCGGCCGCGTCAAGCTGCTGTGGCCGCGTCGTCGTGCCGCGGCGCCGCCGTCGACGTCCATGGCGCCCGCGTCCAGCTGCTGTGGCCGCGCCGTCGTGCCGCAGCTCCGCCGTCGCGTCAAGATGCTGTCGCGACGTGACGGCGCCGTCACGCTGCCGCGGCGTCTACGCGACAGCGCGCGGTCGGCGTAACGGCGACGTCGTGCTGCCGTCGCAACGTCGACGCCCCGCTGCGGCATCGACGCCGCTCCATGACGGCGTCGTCGGGCTGCAGCCGGCCGCGTGACGCTTGTGGCGCCGCTAGACCGGCCGCCCGCATGTCAGCCTGTGGCGCCCCCCCCCCCCCACCCCCCTCCTTCCCTTGTGCCCTCTTCCATTCCGCAGACGACGGCTGACTCCCGCCGGCCGTCCCACCGTCGCGGGGCCTGGCCACGTCACCGAGAGGTGCGGGTGCCGCCGCCGCTGCCGCTGTTGTCGAAGCCGCCGCCGCCGCCGCTGTCGCCGCTTGCGTCGGGGCCACGCAGCCGCACGCCGCCGCCGCCGCCGCTGTCGACACTGCCGCCGCTGCCGCCGTCGCCGCCGCAGCCCCTGCGGTCGACGTCGCCGCCTCACGCGCCGTGGGGTCGACTGACCTAGAGTCGTTGTCACTGTGGCTGGAATGGGGGTGCTAGGTTAGGGGGTGTGGGTGTGTGTGGGCATGTGACTACCAAGCCTAGGGGGTGTGTTCAAATTATATAAGTTATAATTTAATATAGGCTTGGTAGGTTGTTACTGAACCTTTCCGTAGGGGGTACAAACCCCTCCTTGTACTCCCCTCTCTTCTAATCCAACACCTTTTCTCTCCTCAACTTTCCTAGCACCTAAAACCTCTCGCCATTCTCATGGCTCCTCCTAGCTCCTAGCTAAACCTTGTGCCATTCTATGGCTTCCTAGCTAAGCTAGTTTCTGACAATATCACCCTACCAGCAGCATTTGACAACTAGGGAGGGCGGAACGCCTGACGGGCAGACAAGGGGAGCGAGTGGGCGTTAGAAGCAGCGTGCACAGGATGGAGGTTGTTGGCACCGCTGCGATACAATGGTGGACCTGCTTGTCCCGCTTGTCCCCCCGGCCTCGCTTGTCCCCCCTCTCCCACTTGTCTCTCATTGTTTGGTGCTCTTTGCCCACGTGCTGCTGACTGCTGCAGCTGTGGGGGCTGCGGAGGAGGAGGAGGAGCATGGAGCAGAGCCAGCACAGGCTGCTCTTGCCCGGACACATGCACCCGCCCTGCCTGCTGCTGCTCCTGCTGCTGCTGCTGTGCTTGCACCTGCCGCTGCTGTTCCAGCTCATGCCCATGCTCCAGCAGCCAATCATCATCATCCATCTCCACTGCTGCTTCCTGCTGCTGGTTCTGCTGCTGCTCCATGCAGCGTCCTTTATTCACCCAGCTGCCACCATCATCGCCACCACCACCACCATCATCATCATCATTATCATCTAAACCCCCTCTCCCAGTAGGGTTACCAGCGATGGTAGTATTACAGAGTAGCAGGGCAGAGAGTGTGTCTGTGCTGACCCGCAGCTGCTGCCAGATGCCCTCCATCTGCTGCTGTAGCGCCTTGTGGTGCGCTAGCTGGGCCCTGGTGGTACCACAAGTCAGGCAGAGGGTAGGGGTCTAAGAATTGTACACATCACAGGCAGCAGAGACAGATGTACAGAAGTTGACAGCCCAAGCCTCATAGGTGCACCAGAGCCACATTTGCAGTCTTTCAGCAGCTAAGACGGTAGGGACAAGGAGCTTTGAGTGATGCACACCTGAGAGTGTCAGACTGATCCTGCAGCTGCTGCTTTTTTTGTATAAAAACCGTGTGATAGGAGTATAGTTTTAAGGTGCCTCAAAACTAGACAGGAGGGACAAGGAGCTCTGATGCACACCTGAGAGTGTCAGACTGATCCTGCAGCTGCTGCTTTTTCATGGTCACCTGGTAGCCAAGGGAGAAGGGAGGGTGGCAGCCCAAGGGGGAAGGTTGAGTGAAGGGAGGTGGAAGCAGAAGGAATGAAAGCACTGGAGGGCAGTGAACGGCGTTTTTTGCAGGACGAGTGCTGCACGGCACGCACCAGTGCTGCACAACAAGGGATGGATAGGAGTAGTCGGAGAGGATGAAAATCGGCAACAACTAAAAAAAAAGAGGGCGTTACTGCGCTGAGAGAAGGCGTTACCTTGTGAAGAGAGGCTTGCAGGCGCGCCTCTGTTTGCCTCCACTGCTGCACTGCCGCCATATGCTCGTCTGCTCGTTGCTCCAACTGCCACGTGGCGAAGGATGTATGCATGGGGTATAAAAAGGACATACAGCACAAGGCGCATGATCCATTATAGGGAGGGCATTTCACGTGGGCGGTGGGCGGTGGGCGGTGGGCGGTGGGCGGTGGGCGGTGGGCGGTGGGCGGTGGGCGGTGGGCGGTGGGCGGTGGGCGGTGGGCGGTGGGCGGTGGGCGGTGGGCTGTGAGCGTGGGCGGTGGGCTGTAGGATTTGAACCCCATACCTCTCTCTTCAAGGGTTAATTTTTAACCCACTACGACACTAGGTTGAAGGAGATTTTTACGGAGAATCATACCTTGTGGACTTTCCCCGCATTGCAGGAATTCTTGGCGCGCGCCTCTTGACCTTTCCCCATGCACCCCTTGCAGACTTTTCCCGCGCACCTGTCCTATGCTTTCTGTTATGGCCCTGAGAGACTATTCTACCTATATATCCATCACCGTCACAAATATACACACACATGCATGCACACTCCCAGCCGCTCACATGCAATGTCCTAGTACGTAATGCATACTACTCACCCATGCAATGTCCTAGTGCGTAATGCATACTACTCACCCGTGCAATGTCCTAGTGCGTAATGCATACCTACTCACCCATGCAATGTCCTAGTGCGTAGTGCATACTACTCACTTATGCAATGTCCTAGTGCGTAATGCATACCTACTCACCCATGCAATGTCCTAGTGCGTAATGCATACCTACTCACCCATGCAATGTCCTAGTGTGTAATGCATACCTACTCACCCATGCAATGTCCTAGTGCGTAATGCATACTACTCACGCATGCAATGCCCTAGTGGGTAATGCATGGTACTCACCCATGCAATGTCCTAGTGCGTAATGCATACCTACTCACCCATGCAATGTCCTAGTGCGTAGTGCATACCTACGCACCCTTGCAATGTCCTAGTGCGTAATGGATACTACTCACCCATGCAATGTCCTAGTGCGTAATGCATACCTACTCTTAGTTGCTACAAACGCTCTAGCAGACACACGCTTAGCGTTCGAATGCAAACGCTAAACGGACCCATAAACGCAAATGCTCGCTGGGAATTTTTCCGGGCTGCCCCTAAAAAAAAAACCAGGAAAATTTTTACCGCGAAATTGAGACTTGGCGAATTCAGCGCGACATTCGCCAAGTCCCAACCCCGAACCAAGTCGTCGAAATTCACCTCCCAACAACCCCCCCCCCTTCAACCGCACTCCGCACATCGTCAACTACAACATCCAACCCCTCCTCCTCACATCTCATAGATCCACGCAAGTTCGCAATCCCCTCTCCCGTCAAAACCGCCCGCGCGCCATAGCCGTAGCCACTCGTCCTCCTTAGCTGCCATACCTTAGCCACGAGATAACATTCAGTTAACGGCGAGGGCCCATGTCGACCCCTCTCAGCAATGAGGACGCCGCTAAAGCGACCACATCTTGTAATGTATACGAGGCGGATAGGAATCACGAGGTTTATAAGTACTTCCGCGTTCTAGTCAAAGAGACCGGCGCCACACAGAAATATGAGTGTCGCTTTTGCGGGCAGAAGATGACCGGTAGTCCCATATACATGAGGATGCATACTTCAAATTTTCCATGGCTTATTTGGAGCCAAATTGCTTGCTGGCAGAACCCCCATGTTTCCCCCCTCCCCCACAGGAAATTTTCACCCCTGCCCGGGCAAATATTTTTACCCCTGCCCGGGCAAGCGTTTGCCTAGCGTTCACAGACACGCTGATGAGCGTTTAGCGTTCAAACGCCAGCGTTTCAAACACTGGCGTTCAACCGCTAAACGCGTTTGTAGCAACTAAGTACCTACTCACCCATGCAATGTCCTAGTGCGTAATGCATACTACTCACCCATGCAATGTCCTAGTGCATCATGCATACCTACTAACCCATGCAATGTCCTAGTGCGTAATGCATACCTACTCACCCATGCAATGTCCTAGTGCGTAATGCATACCTACTCACCCATGCAATGTCCTAGTGCATCATGCATACCTACTAACCCATGCAATGTCCTAGTGCGTAATGCATACCTACTCACCCATGCAATGTCCTAGTGCGTAATGCTCACTACTCACCCATGCAATGTCCTAGTGCATAATGCTTACTACTTACTCACCCTTGCAATGTCCGAGTACGTAATGAAAATAGCGCCACAGGTCGCTCACACGTCGTGCGTAGCTAGACATGGGTATATCGCATCGCATCACGTTTTATCGCATTTTGCGATTGCGGTTTTTATATATATATATATATACAAAATCGCAAAGATGCGATGCGAAAGATATTGCGCGATTTTTGCGATATCGCGCATTTATTGTGGTTTTTTCAGCGGGATAAAACATGATATGCGATATTGAAATATCGCGCGCCATACATCCGCATATCGCGTCGCGGAATTGCGCTAGAAAGGGGGGGAAACATGGGCGCGGGCCCTGAATTTAGCAAAATTTAGGGTTCTCTGGTTGTGATGGCGTTCGGAAATTGCGCGCAGCTGTTTGGGGTTGGCGTAATTGACGAGGAGGTGTTTGTGAGGAGCTTGGAGAGAAAGGGTTGGAAATTCTAGTTGAAAAGGAGTGCAATGCGGTTGAGGGAGGGGAGTTGGTTGGAGGTTCAAATTTTGACATGGGCGGTGGTGGATGGAATGTGGTGGTGTGCGATAAAAGGGATTTAGGGGGTTGATTGAAATCTCGACCCCCAACAAGTCAATTGGTTGGAACTCCAACCAATTTCCACAACTTCAACCGCACTAAATTCCTCCGCATCTACAGAATCCAGCCCCTGCCCCTCTAACCGCTCTACATCAGGGAGGGGCCACGATATCTCATTCTCTCGTCAAACTTCACTCACCTAATTCCTCGCCCACGTAGAAAAGCTGGCCTTGTCGTTCTGCTTTTCTCCTCCAACCCCTAAATGCGATGCAATGTTAAATCGCATCGCGCGATATATCGCATTTATGGGTGCAATATTTTTAAACATCGCACCCTAAATCGCGATATGCGATTTCAAGTTTTTAAACAGAATATCACAGCGATGCGATATCGCATCGCTGCGATATCACGCGCGATATGACAAAATGTGATCCGATATCGCATCGCATCGCATTTTAACCATGTCTCCGCGTAGCATCTCATGCAATGTCCGAGTATGTAATGAAAATAGCGCCACAGGTCGCTCACAGAACGAAGTAGCATCTGATAATTAATTCTGAGACGTCTGAAGAGCAGCTGAACGCTGTTTTCCCAAAACTACTTTCCCAAAGCCCCTCTCTTTTCCTCTCTTCCTACCTGCTTTACCCTGCCACCCAGCTCATCAGCCCGCTTCCTGGAATCTTCCAGACGCTGCTCTGCACACTGCCTCTGACCCTCAGCCTGGCAAACGGGCATTAGGGCACGGATGGGGGCATGGGGGCTTGTTCGCATGAGGGCGTGTTGGCAACGGGGCAAGGGTGCATGGGACAAAGAAGGGGGAATAAGGGGGGAATGGGAATATGGGGGCATGGGTGGTGGAGAAACGTGGAAATTAGATGATGGGGAAGTGTGGAAATCAGACGGTGGGGTGACAAGACAACAGGATCCCTAGTTCCTGCCTCTCCATCCTCTCCTGACTCTACCTCCATCAGTTTGGCTTGTATCTGCTCCGTCGCTCGCCTATGCTCCTCCGTCTTTCTCCTCTCCTCCTCCTCTGCTGCTTGCTGCTGCTGCTGCCACTCCCTTTCCACCTGCCGGTTTCAAATATCAGCAGACCCAGATGTTGACACAGGCAGGAGACTTTTGAGGCGCCTCAAAACTCAATCTTAAATATCAGCAGACCCAGATGTTGACACAGGCAGGTGTTTGTAAGGCAAGGGAGCACCAATCATGAAGAATGATTTCTTACAATGATCTAGCAACAGGAGAAGTGGTTGCAACTTGCAATGTGAACAGGCACAAGACTCAGCGATCGGCAAAAGAGTGCCCGAGGTGAAAGAACAGGCACCTGGGTGATCTGCTGCCTGGCTTCTCCTAAAGCTTGCTGCAGCTGCTGGTGCGCATGCTGAGAAAACCAAAGCAAGGGCGAAAGGGGAGGGGAGGTAGGGACATGGGCAGGACGTGAAAGATATACTGTTTGTAGGAAAAGGAAGATACACACCCGCACCATAACCGACAATCCACATGCGTGCACACACAAACCTCCACCCTTCACACACACCCCGCTCTCCTTCTCTCTAGTGCCCGGTAAATGCCAACTCCTTCTCTCAACTCAAAGGCCCCAACTCCTCACTTGCACCCCCCCTGTTCCCGTCCCCCCCTCCCCCTTTTCCAATTCTCACCTTCACGCCCCCCAGTTTTGCCTGCACTGCTGCAAGCTGCTGTGCTGCTCTCCATTGCTCCTGAGACAGTTGGAGGAAGGTGGGTGAATGGGTGAATGGGTGAGTGGGTGAACGGGTGAGTGGGTGAATGGGTGAGGGTGAGTGGGTGAATGGGTGAGTGGGTGAGTGGGTGAATGGGTGAATGGGTGAATGGGTGAATGGGTGAGTGGGGTAATGGGTGTGTGGGTGAGTGGGTGAATGGGTGAGTGGGTGAACGGGTGAGTGGGTGAATGGGTGAGGGTGAGTGGGTGAATGGGTGAGTGGGTGAGTGGGTGAATGGGTGAATGGGTGACTGGGTGAGTGGGGTAATGGGTGTGTGGGTGAGTGGGTGAATGGGTGAATGGGTGAGTGGGTGAGTGGGTGAGTGGGTGAATGGGTGAATGGGTGAATGGGAGAGTGGGTGAGTGGGTGTGCGGGTGAGTGGGTGAATGGGTGAATGGGTGAGTGGGTGTGTGGGTGAGTGGGTGAGTGGGTGAGTGGGTGAGTGGGTGAGTGGGTGAGTGGGTGAATGGGTGAATGGGTGAATGGGTGAATGGGAGAGTGGGTGAGTGGGTGTGTGGGTGAGTGGGTGAATGGGTGAATGGGTGAATGGGTGAATGGGTGAATGGGTGAATGAGTGAATGGGTGAATGGGTGAGTGGGTGAGTGGGTGAGTGGATGAGTGGGTGAGTGGGTGAGTGGGTGAGTGGGTGAGTGGGTGAGTGGGTGAATGGGTGAATGGGTGAATGGGTGAGTGGGTGAGTGGGTGAGTGGGTGAGTGGGTGAATGGGTGAATGGGTGAATGGGTGAATGGGTGAATGGGTGAATGGGTGCATGGGTGAATGGGTGAATGGGTGAATGGGTGAGTGGGTGTGCGGGTGAGCGGGTGAATGGGTGAGTGGGTGAGTGGGTGTGTGGGTGAGTGGGTGAGTGGGTGAGCGGGTGAGCGGGTGAGTGGGTGAGTGGGTGAATGGGTGAATGGGTGAATGGGTGAATGGGAGAGTGGGTGAGTGGGTGTGTGGGTGAGTGGGTGAATGGGTGAATGGGTGAATGGGTGAATGGGTGAGTGGGTGAGTGGGTGAGTGGATGAGTGGGTGAGTGGGTGAGTGGGTGAGTGGGTGAGTGGGTGAGTGGGTGAGTGGGTGAGTGGGTGAATGGGTGAATGGGTGAATGGGTGAATGGGTGAATGGGTGAATGGGTGAATGGGTGAGTGGGTGAACGGGTGAGTGGGTGAATGGGTGAGGGTGAGTGGGTGAATGGGTGAGTGGGTGAGTGGGTGAATGGGTGAATGGGTGAATGGGTGAATGGGTGAATGGGTGAGTGGGGTAATGGGTGTGTGGGTGAGTGGGTGAATGGGTGAATGGGTGAGTGGGTGAGTGGGTGAGTGGGTGAATGGGTGAATGGGTGAATGGGAGAGTGGGTGAGTGGGTGTGCGGGTGAGTGGGTGAATGGGTGAATGGGTGAGTGGGTGTGTGGGTGAGTGGGTGAGTGGATGAGTGGGTGAGTGGGTGAATGGGTGAATGGGTGAATGGGTGAATGGGAGAGTGGGTGAGTGGGTGTGTGGGTGAGTGGGTGAATGGGTGAATGGGTGAATGGGTGAATGGGTGAATGGGTGAATGGGTGAATGGGTGAGTGGGTGAGTGGGTGAGTGGATGAGTGGGTGAGTGGGTGAGTGGGTGAGTGGGTGAGTGGGTGAGTGGGTGAGTGGGTGAGTGGGTGAGTGGGTGAATGGGTGAATGGGTGAATGGGTGAGTGGGTGAGTGGGTTAGTGGGTGAGTGGGTGAGTGGGTGAATGGGTGAATGGGTGAATGGGTGAATGGGTGAATGGGTGAATGGGTGAATGGGTGAGTGGGTGAGTGGGTGTGTGGGTGAGTGGGTGAGTGGGTGAGTGGGTGAGTGGGTGAGTGGGTGAGTGGGTGAGTGGGTGAGTGGGTGAATGGGTGAATGGGTGAATGGGAGAGTGGGTGAGTGGGTGTGCGGGTGAGTGGGTGAATGGGTGAGTGGGTGAGTGGGTGTGTGGGTGAGTGGGTGAGTGGGTGAGCGGGTGAGTGGGTGAGTGGGTGAGTGGGTGAATGGGTGAATGGGTGAATGGGTGAATGGGAGAGTGGGTGAGTGGGTGTGTGGGTGAGTGGGTGAATGGGTGAATGGGTGAATGGGTGAATGGGTGAGTGGGTGAGTGGGTGAGTGGATGAGTGGGTGAGTGGGTGAGTGGGTGAGTGGGTGAGTGGGTGAGTGGGTGAGTGGGTGAGTGGGTGAGTGGGTGAGTGGGTGAATGGGTGAATGGGTGAATGGGTGAGTGGGTGAGTGGGTGAGTGGGTGAGTGGGTGAGTGGGTGAATGGGTGAATGGGTGAATGGGTGAATGGGTGAATGGGTGAATGGGTGAATGGGTGAGTGGGTGAGTGGGTGAATGGGTGAGTGGGTGAGTGGGTGAGTGGGTGAGTGGGTGAGTGGGTGAATGGGTGAATGGGTGAGTGGGTGAGTGGGTGAGTGGGTGAATGGGTGAGTAGGTGAGTGGGTGAGTGGGTGAGTGGGTGAATGGGTGAATGGGTGAATGGGTGAATGGGTGAATGGGTGGGGGACGCGCATGCATGCAAACACGTGCGTGCAGATACACAGCGTGGCACATATGATTCATTATTGAAGCCCAAAAAATGGCTTTCACCTGACCCTCTGTTGCTTCCACCTGACCCTCTGCTGCTTTCACCTGAGCATGGGCAGCTTTCATGGAATCCATGGCTTGTTGCTGCGAAGCCACCTCAGCATGCAGGGATGACAGCTGGCCAAAGATGATTGGAGGGAAGGAGCGGATGGGGATGAGAAACAGGCAGCAGCAAGGGCACATGTGAGGAACAGCAGCAGTTGAGGGATCCAAATGAGGAGCAGCAGGAGGAGCAGGAGGAGGAGGAGCAAGGGGATTAATGTGGCAGATGGAAAAGGGCCAACTGGGAGCCCCATAAGACCGGCCCAGTGCAGTGCAGGGCAGAGCAGTGCAGTGCAGTGCAGTGCAGTGCAGTGCAGTGCAGTGCAGTGCAGTGCAGTGCAGTGCAGTGCAGTGCAGCCCCCCCGGCAGCACTCACCTCGTCACGCGCTGCCTGCAGGTCGCCTCTGAGCTCCCGTGCCTGCTGCTGGTGGCTGTCCACCTGCCTGCGAGACAACAGGGAGAGGAACGCCTCAATGATGCCAATGCGATTGTGGGAGCCTAAGTTACTGGTGGGTCAGCAACGGGGGGGAATGGCCGACGAGGGGACGCCATGTGAGTGGCACCATTTGGTGCACTTATCAAGTTATCAAGTTCAAACCTGCCCAGTGGTTCACCTCGTCGCTTCTCGTGTCTCAGCCTGTGCGTGGGCCAGTTGCGCCTGTTGCTCCCGCATCCGGGTCTCCCCTTCTCTCATCCTCCTCTCCAACTCACGAGACATCTGCTGCTGCCCCTCCCCTGCCAAGCATTCCCCTGGCGACATACCTCGTTGCGTCTCGCATCTGAGCCTGTGCGTGGGCTAGTTGCGCCTCTTGCTCCCTCATCAGCGTCTCGACTTCCCCAACCCTCCTCTCCACCTCGCAGGCTCTCTGCTGCTGCTCCTCCCCCTTGCGCCTCTCCACCTCCTTCTGCTGCCGCGCGGCTTCAGCCTGCAGCCAATGCAAATGCATTCACACATCAATGCGTCACGTATCCGCGTGTCACATATCAATGCGCTCAAATACGAAGGTACACACACTTGTAACATGGACGAGCGTTATGCCTGCAAACTCAGAATAAGAGAATCTCAGGTGCTGACTACCTGAGCCGTAGTTTGAGCCAGGTCACTTCTACAGGAGGCCAGAGCCCTGCGAAGCTCCTCCTCTGCCACTCCCCTCTGCTCCACTTCCGCCCTCGCAGCTGCCAACTCACGCTCACACCTCTCCTGTGCCGCCCTCGCTGCTGCCACTTCCGCCTTCGCTGCTGCTAGATCGTTCTGCGTTCTCTCAAGAGCAGCCCTTGCTGCCATCCCCTCTGCTCGCGCTGCTGCCAGGTCGCTCTGGGATTTCTCCCAACTCATCCTCACTGCTTCCCCCTCTGCTCTAGCCAGCCCTGCGTCTGTCCTGGCTGCTGCTAGCTGGTCCGCGAGTGCCCTGATCCGCTGCTCCATGGACGCCTGGGGGGATTAGAGTGAGGGGTGGGGGTGGGGGTTGTTGTCATGGGCTTTGTGCTAAAGACTTGTAACGACCAGCGCCCCCTTGGCTGCCGCTAGCTGGTCCATCAGCGCCCTGATCCGCTGCTCCATGGACGCCTGGGGGGAGGATTAGGGGGGATGGGGGTTGTTGTCATGGGCTTTGTGCTCAAGACTTGTAACGACCAGCGCCCCCCACGCTGCTGCTAGGTGGTCCGTGAGCGCCCTGATTCGTTGCTCCATGGCCGCCTGGGGGGAAAGAGATGGTGAGGGTGACATGGAGGGGGGCAGGGGGAGGGGGGAGACGGGGAATTGGAAGGGCAGAGGAAGGAATAGCGGCAGGGGCAGAGGATGGGAGAATGTGGAAGGCCATGAAGGAGGGTCATACCATGCCATGCCATGCCATGCCATGCCATGCCATGCCATACCATGCCATACCATGCCATGCCATGAGATGCCACGCCAAGCCATGTCAACCACGGCTTGGTTGGCATCAAACAGAGCATCACAGAATGCCATGCAGCTTACTCGCAGCAGCACGTCTGTTTCCAGCACCGCTAGGCGCTGCTCCCTGGCCCTTGTGCCTTGTGATACGCTTTTTAGAGCTCTCAAAGGCAGAGGGCATGTAATGTGTCTTACTCGCAGCAGCACGTCTCTTTCCAGCACTGCTAGGCGCTGCTCCATGGCCCTCATCCCCCCCGTCTCCCGCATTCCTTGCGCCCCCTTCAATCCATCCATCTCCTGTACTTGCACCATCTCCACCCCTCTCTCTGACGCTCTCTCCTCCGCTCTCTCATCCCCCCTCTCTCCCCCACATCTCCCCACTCCATACGCCCCTCCCGGGTACCCATTACCCCTCGCTGCCGCCCCCACTGCCCCATGGTTTGACTCCCTCCCCTCCCCCAGCCTACTCCCGCCTCCCGGCGCTGCAGCCCTCGCATCGTCTGTTGCACACGCCTCAGCTCGACCCGGCACATGAGCCCCACACCTCTGCACTCTGCTTGATTGCTCTCCCCTATGCTCTCCCCTATGCTCTCCCCTATGCTCTCCCCTATGCTCTCCCCTATGCTTCCCCCCATGCTCCGGCCCATGATCCCCCCCAAGCTCTTCCCCATGCTCATGCCTCCCCCACCCTTCACCCGCCCAGCGCTCCGCCCCACACCCCCCCTCACGCACGTCTGCCCATCCCACTGCATCCTCCCCCCCACCTTCCCCTCTCCCTCTCCTCTCTCCTCCGCTATCGTCTAGTCTCGCCCCCTCACAGCCCCTCACTTCCCCCCACCTCACTCTCTTCTCTGGCCCCAGCATTCCACCCTGTGTTGCCCCTCGCACAGGGATGGCCCTTCCAGCAGCCTCAGCAGCCACGCTGAAGGCTCCGGCACCACCAGTATCAGCAGCACCACCACCAGCACCAGCACCACCACCAGCAGCACCACCACCAGCACCAGCACCACCAGCAGCACCACCACCAGCACCAGCACCACCAGCAGCAGCACCACCAGTATCAGCAGCACCACCACCACCAGCAGCAGCAGCAGCACCACCAGCAGCAGCAGCACCAGCAGCACCAGCAGCAGCACCACCACCAGCAGCAGCACCAGCAGCACCACCGGCAGCAGCAGCACCACCACCAGCACCACCAGCACCACCAGCACCACCAGCAGCACCAGAACCACCAGTAGCAGCAGCACCAGCAGCAGCAGCAGCAGCAGCAGCAGAAGCAGCAGCGGCAGCACCATTAGTTGGGTTATGATCCAGACGCCTTCTCTTATTGCCACCCTCCCTCTCATCTCCAACCATCGGACCTGCCTCCGAACCTGATGCCTCAGAATCCGAGCCACCTACTCTCACCATACCTGGACCCGGTTTGCCCATGTTCACAGTCCCAGCCCTCTTTCCTGCGCCAACCCCTGCCCCGGCCACAGCTGTTCCCTCACCCTCCTCTCTCTCCCCCCTCTCCCCCACCTCACCGGACCCCTCCACCCGACACCCGGCGCCCCTCTCCCTGCCTGCGAACGGGCTCTGCTTCACCAGCCGCCCCACATCGCCCCCCACTAGGTCCAGCTGCTGCTGCTGCACCGCCCTCCACTCCCTCTGCTCCCTCTGCGCCAGCTGCTGCTGCTGCTGCTGGTGCCTTTGCTGCTTCTGCTGCTTCTTCTTCTTCTGCTGTTCATTCTGCTGCATTCGTTTCTCACCTGCTTTTACTACCTTCCCTCTTGCCCCTTCTCCTTCGTCCCCCCCACCACCACCCTGCCTGCCTTCTCTCCCTCCCTCCACTCCCCCACCCACGGGACCAGAGCCTATCTGGGCATCACCTTGCATTGCCCCAGTCTTGCTCCCCCTTCTCACACGCCACGATCCGAGCCCAGTCGTGAGCTTGCGAGCCGTGGTCAAAGGCCGCTTTGTGCCTCCTGTTGTTGCTGGTCGTGAAGTCACTGGAGCTGCTGCCCCTGCTGTTTCCGCTCCTCCTGCCACTCCTGCAAGACCTTCTCCCCCTTTGCTACCCCCTCTTCCTCCTCTTGCTCCTCCTCTTCCTCCTCCTCCTCCTCCTCCACCTTCTCTTCCTGCTCCCACAGCAGCCTCAAGGCGAGCAGACAAACCTGCAGCTCCCATGCCACGTGTGCCTACAACAGCCTCTTCATCGACATGTGTCGTCCCACGATTGGCTCGTAACAGGCCAGGGGCAGCTGGCTGAATTCCTTGAGTTCCTCTTCCCCCTCCATGCTCGCCTGCTGAGTCGGCCGCGTGTGAGTGGCTGGCCGTTGGTGGGAAGGCAGACGGAAGGTTGCGGAGGGCAAAGAGGTCGGCGTAGGAGAGATCTGGTAGAGGGGTGAGGGGGGTGGGGGGGGCGATTGCCTCGGAAATTTCGGTTTGGGGAAATTGGATCGGGGGGAGTGGAGCGGAGTAAGATGAAAGGAGCAAAGGCCTTGGAGTGGGGGGGAGGGCACATGAGTAAATGGAGCAAAGCGAGTTCTCCTCTTCCCAACTCCATGCACCTACCCTTGCCGCCATAGCCACCGAAGAGGAACAGCGACCGGCCCCAATACACCAAGGAGTGCGCCGCCCTGCCCGCAGGCATCGCGCCCCCCTTCCCACCACACACACCTCCCACATTCTCCCCTTCCCCCACATGGGGAGGCACAGCGAGCATGGGGGGGGAGGGGGGGAGGGAGGCAATGCGGTGCCAGGCGAGGGTGAGCGGCGGAGAGGCATGGGAGGCTGGTGGGGATGGTGGTGCGTTGTGTGCTGAGGTTAAGGCCTGGTCAAGGGAGTTGGGGGAAGGAGAAGAGGAGGATAGTTCTGAGATGCTGCCAGGCGCGTTACTGGGTTGCTTGCAGGTGCATGCCATCCTAGGAACTTACGGCAAGGCGCATGGTACGGCATATGGTAGCATGGTAAGGAATGACATGGCATGGCATGGCATGGCATGGCATGGCAAGGCACGGCACGGCACAGCATGCGCGCACCTGCAGTAGCCAGAGGTCATCCAATCTATCCTTCTTCACCCTGCCTCCGTGCATCACCGCCATATCGCCCCCCACACATGCCACCGCGTGGTTTGACCGTAGCTGTGGTCGGGGTCCCCCCGAAGATGCCACCTTGGGCTCGACCCATGCATCGCATAGCGGGTCATAGGCCCTGAAGTGCAGGGGAATGGGATGATGAATTGGAAAACATATGCATGCATGCATACATGCATATGTATATGTGTGTATATAAGGACCCACCTGGTCTGTATTTTACCCCGAGCTCATCTGATGAAATACACCTGAAGCACACCTGAGAATCACCTGAAGCACAACTGAGAATCACCTGAAGCACACCTGAGAATCACCTGAAGCACGCGTGAGACCCACCAGAGGCTCTGCTGTCCCCTGCACGCATAGGCCTCAACTCACCAGAGGCCCTGCTGCTCCTTGTCTGCGCGCTGCTTGGTCTTTCCTCCGAAGACGACAGCCTGGCCGGCCAGGTTTGTCATGGAGTGGTAGCCGCGGGCAGAGGGAGGGGCGCCGGAGGGACGCACGTCTTGCCATAGCAGGCACTCTGAGAACACACAGTCGGACACGGTGGTGGGGTGGGAGTGGGGAGGCGGTTAGGGGAAGGGGGAGAAAGGGGGAGGAGGAGAAAGCGAGAGGATGGAAGGGTCAGGCGTGATAGAAGCGCAAGTGGGGTGAAGGCATATGGAGGTTAAGATTGCTTGCAACAGTACAATGTAGTGATTCGCACCTGTATCGAGAACACAGAGGTCAGCCAGAAAATCCAGCTTGGGCCCTTCGCCCCCATATCCCCCGTGGATGAGCAGCCACGAGGCGTGCTGCGGATGCACCAGGGCAGCATGTGTGGCACGTGGATACTCTGCATATCTGCCACGTGTCTGCACCTCCCTCCACTGCCAACGTGCAGTGGAAACATGGGGGCGAGGGAGGGAGGGGGAGGGCAAGTGGGGGGGGAGGAGGGAGGGAGGGAGGGGGAGTAGGAATGCAGAGGTTGGGGGCGGGGAGGGGGGGTGGGGCAAGGAAGGGACGTGAGACAGAGGGGGTGGTACAGGGAGGGTGAGGCTAGTGGCTTAGCAAGCAGGCTGGCCCCACTCCCCCGTGCGCCCATTCCCCCCCCCTCCGCCCACTTCCCCCCTCGGCGCCCACCTTCCCCCCCCCCGTGCGCGTACCTGCCTGGTGCGCGTGTCGAGCACGAACACGTCGTGCTTCACCGCCTTTTCGTCGCTGCCGCCCACCACCCAGATCTCCGAGTCGCCCACAAGCGTCGCGCTGTGATAGGCTCGCGGGGAGAACGGCGCGTGCTCGTTAATCAACTCCCACCTCGCTGCTGCTCCTCCTTCTCTTCCTCGTATCCCTTCTCCTACTCGTGCCTCTCCTGCTCCTCCCTCTCCGGCTTGGCAACTCGACTTCCCCCCGTCGTCGGTAGTCCCTTCGACGCCGTCGCAGCCGGAAAGGTCGCACAGCCAGACGTCGTTCACGTGCGAGCGATCCGCCAGTCGCCCGCCCATGACGTACATGCAGCTGCCGACGAGCGTCGCGCTGTGACCGATACGTGGCACGAGGCCATTGGGTACTGCGCGAGACAGAAGCGACAGGCATCGGGATTAGGAAAGGGTGACTCATGCTGCCACCTGGAACGCAACTTGCGTTCCGAGACTCAAGTTGAGCTAAATCGTAAAACCGCGTTATACTGTGATTCTACCCATTTGCGCGCATCGCCGTCTGCTCTCCTAGACCACTGACACCCACCTTGTAGCTGCTGCCAGAAAGGGACTGCGCTGCTACCGCGAGCCATGTCATTTGTGGCGTGTGTACTATTAGCAATGTATTCGGCTATTGCCGAGTAGACCTTCAATGCTTGGCACCGTATGTCTGCGACAATTGCCTTCTCCTTTCCCATTCACATTCAGCTGGTCTATCTAGATGAGCTAATTTGTCAGCTTGAATAAAATACATTATGTTGGGAGACATCCATGGTTCCGAACTTGATGCTCCATGTGGTGGTGGTGTGGGATAACGATGTGTCATTACTGACGGGGTGTCCACTGTTTTTTTACCGTTAGATCTTTTGGACAAAAATAAATGGGGGGAACTAAGTTAATATTTGAGATCTGCAACAAGGAACAAAACTGTGTATCATCGGCTGATTGGAAGGCTATTTACACTGTAGAGCATCTACAAGTCGATAGCCCTCTTGCCACTGAACTTAACAGCTGCGGGATCAACGTTCTTGCCAATGGAGCGGAGGTTCACGTTGGCGTTGGCGCGGCCAGCGTTGACCTTCTCGGGGTAGACACCATCCTTGGGGTGAAGGTACTGGACCTCGCCGCTGGGGAACACGCGGTAGAACTGGTAGTTAATCTTGAACTTTGTCCTCAGCTGGGTGCCGAGAGCCAGGCACTGCTCCTTCCTGGCGAGCTTCAGCAGGTTGGGGCCGGCCCTCATGATGGCGGCGCCACCGGTGGGCATCTCGAAGATCTGCTCCTTCTTGGCCTCCCAGGTGATCACGTAGAACTCCTCCACCTGAGCCTTGCGGAGAAGGCCGCCGGTGCTGCCGCCGAAGATGGGCGACGGCGTGTCGGACTTCAGCTCCGGGGGAGAGAAGCCGGCGGGGGCCTCCGCAGCCATGGTCAGGCGCGCGGGAGCGGCCTTCACGGAAAGGGAAGCACCGGCGAAGCTCTTGGCATTGAGCTTCTGGGTGTTGGCGCCGAACACGGCAGCCACGCGGACAGCAGAGGAAGAGGCGACGGCGGCCATTGTGTGATTTTTGCTGGTCAGGCGTGGCTGGGGTAGAGTTCGGCGGACAGTGGAGGTCAAGTGCTGCCTGTACAACAAGGGTTTGCAGATGACAGGTGGGAAATGAGAAGCTCAAGATAACAAAAGCACACCCCTGCAGAAATCTCAGGACACCCCCTGAATGCTCCGAATGCTGATCTGGTCCGCCTGGGAGCCGTTGTGGATGACGCTTGGAAAGCAACATTCCAGGCCTATCTTGGGCGACCAATCAGGGAGGGAGACTACCTCGCAGACCCCATGCCGCCAATTCCTGTGAGCCAATCGAAGGGGATCAAAAGGTCTAAGGATAGCCGAAGACCAATGAAGGGCCATCCGAGCTGTGCGAGATGCACCTGGTATCGCCGGGTCACCCGTCGCTCAAACGATTCTTGTGTCAAATGCAATAGATACAACTGTAGATTTCGGTACGGATCATTAGACTTCTTACACCATGTTCAATCTTTATATTACAAACTAGCAAATAGTCAAACTAGCAAATAGTCAAACCTGTTCTCCATATCATCGGTCCTACTGAATACTACCTAACACTAGATTACATGCAAACAGAATGGGCCAGAAATTATTCATGCAACTAATATCACTTATAATTTTACCACTACACTTCGTTCATGCAGCTGATTGCAAGACTGCGGCTGCCTGTGCGCCTGCCCTTCCACTCTCCTGGGCAAGCTTACAGAAGAGAGCAACAGATTCCTCGGGAGTGCCCTGCACCACCCCGTGACCCACATTGAGAATGTGCCTCCTGCCCCCCGCCTTGCTCAGGCAGTCAGCCACTGCTGCTCTGATGGATGCCTCCGGACCAAACAGAACCATGGGGTCCACATTCCCCTGGAAAAAAAGGCGTAGTGCATGGGTTAGCAAGCAAAGAAGGGGGATATGGTACTAGACAGCTGATGACAAGATGTTGGGCGTGTGCAGGTGCATGTGCGTCACGCACTGCACCATGCGCTGCCCTACCCACTGCCCGTTGGGAAGCGTCCCGATAAACAGAACTGCTTTTCCTCACCTGCAGCACAATGTCATTGCCAAAGAGGCTCCTGGCCTCAGCCATATCCGTGCCCCAGTCGAGCCCGATTACATCAGCCGTGCACCCCGCCTGCACGAGGTGCAGCTTGCCGGTGCCGCCATTGGCGTGGAAGATGATGGGCGTGTGCGGGTGCACCTGCTTCACACGCTGCACGATGCGCTGCGCGTACGGCAGGCTGAATTCCGCAAACTGCGCGGGCGTGAGGTGGTGCGCCCACGAGTCAAACAGCTGCACGATGTGCGCCCCGCAGCTGATCTGGTGGCACACGTAGACTACTAGGGCGTCCTCCAGGGCCTGCAGCACGCCGTGCAGCAGCTCAGGCTCTGTTGTTGGAGGATGAGGAAAGAGGTGTGGGAGACAAGCAAAGAAAATGACAAGGTTGGGGGCGAGCGCTGTCAGATACGAGAACGAAATGTGACGGCAGTTGGCATGCTGTGTCACGTGCCGTTGGTTTCGGCCAAAAGCGTTTGCGATGTGCCCAAACAGCCCACACAGCAGACATCAGCCATGTCTCATCCAGCATCCATCCTACAGCGACCACGCCCCAACCACCCACCACGCAGCATCATCCGCTTTGGTGGGTGGTTGCCACCAGGCACCACCAGGTGCTGCCCTCCCCTGCGTCCAAAGCATGCCAACAAAAACCTCGAGTCATCCCAGCACGCCCCCCACACCCACCGTGCAGCATCATGTGCTTGGTGGCCATCAGGTTCTTGTTGCCCTGCCCCTCGATGGCGTATGCAGCCAGCGTCCACGGCGTGCCCACAAACCCCAGCAGCGTCGCCTCGCTGCCAGCAATCTCCCTCCGCAGGGAAGTGAGGATCTCGCGAATGAAGGGCAGCTTGGTGTCCGGGTCCTCCAGAGGCCTGGGTGTCAGGGAAGGATTAGGGGGGTATACCCAGATAAGGGGGATCCTCTCATGAGTCGACTCAGACGCAAAGTGAAGATCTCCTAAATAATGGGCAGCTTGGCGCCAGGCCAGGGTCCTCCAGATGCCTGGTCGCGTGACATAGGGAGGAGGGAGAAGGGGAACCTGTGCCTTTGAGATGGCTTGAGCGTCGTCTCTCAGTCAAATAGTTCCCTGTGGAACGAGGAGGGGACCTCACGAATGAAGGGAAGCTGGGCGTAAGGGTCCTGCAGAGGCCTGCACAAGAGTCTCGTTTCCCAAGACAAGGCCTTTCGGGCTATGTAACCTTGGTGTTTTGCTATTAGCGTTTTGTTTCGCAACACAAGTATTCCACCACGCGCCTTGTATTGCATCCCTCCCAGCACACTGTTCCTTCCATCCCCGCCCTCGCTCTCTCTCTGCTTCTCTCTCCCCACTGTTCCTTTGCTCTGGTTCCCATCACACTGTTCCTTTGCTCTCGCTCTGGTTCCCATCACACTGTTCCTTTGCTCTCGCTCTGGTTCCCATCACACTGTTCCTTTGCTCTCGCTCTGGTTCCCAGCACACTGTTCCTTTGCTCTCGCTCTGGTTCCCAGCACACTGTTCCTTTGCTCTCGCTCTGGTTCCCAGCACACTGTTCCTTTGCTCTCGCTCTGGTTCCCAGCACACTGTTCCTTTGCTCTCGCTCTGGTTCCCAGCACACTGTTCCTTTGCTCTCGCTCTGGTTCCCAGCACACTGTTCCTTTGCTCTCGCTCTGGTGCTCTCTCCCCACCCTCACCCGCCCTCATTCGGCCACTCACCCATCCTTATCAGAGCAACCCAGTATAGTACCCCGGCTACCCACTTCTCCCCTCCCTCCCCCTCTCCCCCTCACCTCCTCCCCTCATTTCCCCTCCCCTCCTCCCCCCCTCCTCTTCCCTCATTCCCCTCTGCCTCCCACTCCACATCACCCTCGCCCGACTCTCTTCGCAGGTCGCCCTTGCTGTGACTGGGGTCGGCGATAACAGGCCCTTTGCCCTTCACCACGCGCCTGTCTGGTTTCGCCCTTGCCCCCAGCGCCCCACTCTCCTTTCTCTCCTCCACCCTCCCCACTCACTCGACCTTGGTAGGCCTTGGTGCGGATGGGATCAGCGATGACGGGCCCCTTCCCCTTCACCATGTCGAGCTCCACTCCCAGCGCCAGCAGGATGGTGCGGATGCCTGCCTGTCTGACCCTCCCCATCCTCCCCATGCCTCCCCACTCACCTGAGCTCCAGCAGGTCGGGCTTGGTGCGAATGGGGTCAGGGATCACCGACTACAGTGGAGTCATTTTTTTGAATGATTTCTTTAGAATTCTCAATCATGCCTCCCCACCCCACTCACCTGACCTCCAGCAGACCGGGCTTGGTGCGAATAAGGTCAGGGATCACCGACCCTTGCCCTTCACCATGTCGATTTCCACCCCCAGCATCGGTAGGATGGTGAGGATCTCCGAAAACGTGATGACGCCGTCCCATTCCTTTCACCCTCTCTTCTTCCGACCCTGCACCTCCCACGATACCCTGCCCTGCCCTGCACCCCCCACGATGTCGGATTGCTCTCCTCACCCTCTCTACCCTCCCTCCTCGCTCCTCCCCACTCACTTCATGTCCAGCAGGTCAGCCTTGGTGCGAATGGGGTCCGCGATGACGGGCCCCTTGCCCTTGACCATGTCGAACTCCACCCCCAGCGCGGGCAGGATGGTGAGGATGTCGGAGAACATGATGACGCCGTCCGTGCCGAACGCCTTCCACGGCTGCAGGGTCAGCTCGATCGCAATCTCCGCCGTCTCAGAGCGCATGCGGAAGGGGTACTTGTCAGAGAACCTGGGGGGGGGTGGGTCGTGTATGGGGTGCATTGGGAGAGACGAAGGGACGTCGGAAAACACGATGACGCCGTGTGTGCCAAACGCCTTCCACGGCTGCAGGATCAGCTCGACGGCGACCTCAGCGGTTCCAGAGCGCATCTGGACAGGGCACTTGTCAGCGAAGAGAACCTGGGGCCAAGTCGGATGGGGGGATACGGCGTGTATGGGCGTGACATGGGATGGGAGGGGCGGGGAAGGGATGTCTTTCTTGCGATTGTAAATCCTTGACATCAGAGTGCAGCTGAGTTCGCTTGATTCTCGAGGGGATGGAGGTTGTGTATGACCTCCGTCGTCGGTCTGTGTGACCTACTTTCGTTGTGTGTGAGTGCACTCCCTGGCGCAAGTCCTTCATGTAGCGGCTGGCTTGCCTCGTGAGCATTTCAAAGGAAGAAACAAGACGTGGATTTCAAAGGAAGAAACAAGACGTGGATTTCAAAGGAAGAAACAAGACGTGGATTTCAAAGGAAGAAACAAGACGTGGATTTCAAACGAATGGGGGCTTCGTCCGACGTACGTCGGCCTGTGTGACCGCACTCACTTGCGGAAGTCCTTCATGTAGCGCCCGGCTTGCCTCATGAGCCACACGGGAGTCCGCTCAGCGTCTGGTGACACGCACGCGCGGGAGACACGCACTCGCACGCACCCTCACCCGCCACCATCCATCACCACCATTCATCGCGCATAACCGCACAGCACCAGGCACACCGTGCGACCGAAGTCAGCACGCGCATCACCGTCAGGAAAGCACATTCCAGTAACACGGAAGACGGAAAGGAGAGAGCAGTTGGGCTCAATGGGAGGCGAATTCATGCAACGGTGTCAAAGGGATTGACTGCGAACGTGGAAAACAGCAGCTGTTGCAACGAGCACCAAAACTCCTAGACTCCAAGAGTCCAAATGTTGCTTGTCATCATGCAACGAACATCCAATTAGGTGGCACGGAAATCGCGCTACTGACCCTCTCCGCGCGCCACGCGCAACAGCAGCGGATCCCGCGCGCCGTCGTGGAGAATCTCCGCCGTCGAGCATCGGCACTTGCCGCGTCCCTCCGCAACCTGCGATCCCGCACGACCCGCTCGCTTCGCGGAGGGGAAGGCGACGGAGGCCGCGGTGCCGGAGATGCCGTTGCTGGCAGATGCCACGTGGCTCAGCCTGGCGGGAACGGAAACTGCTGTCGACAATCCCAAGGTGGCAGCCATTGTTCCAGAATCAGCCCGAATTATCTGAGCCTAAGAAGGCAAGCCGTCGCGACAAGGAACGCAGGCAGGGGAGCAGAATCTGACGGCAGATAGACGGCTTGATGCGACTCTACAGCGGCACCCCTTAAACGAGGAGATTGTTATCAGGCTTGACTTGGCTTGGCTTGGCTTGGTTTGGTTTTGCTCTTGGGCTGCAGGTATTGGGATGAGTGGAGTGGAGCGCCTTGGGATTGCCTAGAATTGCGATAATACAAGTTTGGGTTGGGTATAGTTGGGTGGAGGGAGCGCTGGCACAGATAATCCGAAGCGCAACTTGAAGATGTCTGGGTGAGGTGACGTGGCTCGAGCTGGATTTCGTTGTCCACGTGTCCAGTAGGTACTGCCCGTCTTGTCTACAAGCACCTCCGCCAAAAGGAATTTACGTTCTGGTTTATCATTTCTGTATGGAAATGGCAATTGAAACCAGATGAGCCTGCAACGCGCCGATCGAGTTAGCCTAGAACGAGGAATCCCGGTTTACAATTTACAGCGTGGAACCACCTCCTGCCACGCTGTAGAAGGGATATCGATTGGCCAAAAAGCGTGTTTGACGCCGCGGATTGGCCAAATCTGTGATCCAGGTCATCGTATCTCCACGAACTCCTGCCTTTTCCCGCCACTCAGGGCTAGGGAAGAACTCGCCCCAAGCAGTCGCGCCGCATCTGTATGAAACCCAACTCTTCCAAAGTCACCCCTCCATTCCCTCACTTGTCCGTCTTTCTCTGCTGTTAATTTTCACTTGTGCCTGTTGTTCACTCCGCCATTTTATACTTCCCACTTCTTTGCGGGTACCTAATCCGGATACCCAATCTCCGTGAATCCTACCAACTACGATTCGCGAATTCCGATTTGTTTTCCATGGCGCCCCTAGGTCCTGTTACTAGTACTGTTGGAGTGAACACTGTGCTAGGACAGCCACCCAAGTGGCTGGGTGATTCGCCTCTTGGAGCTCGACTGTTGGCGGCTCGTCTAACATCTACAAGGTGCGCTGCCTCGTTGCACGAAGCCCCTGAAGCATTCTCCTCGAAATCATTCCCCCTTGCACTCCTTTTCCTTACCTTTTTCCTAAACCTTCCCGTTCCAGTTCCACTTCCCCTCCCCCTTTCCTTCCCCTTCCCCTTCCCCTTCCCCTTCCCCTTCCCCTTCCCCTTCCCCTTACCCTTCCGATCCAGCTCTGCTCCCGCCGCACTCCGCCTTCCGCCGCTTCACTCCGCCACGCGCTCCCCGCGACCCCTCGCCACGTCATGCTCCGCCGGAGGCGCCCACCACGCCACGCCAAGAGCAAGACGCGGAAACACTGCTGGGGGAAGCGCCACTGCTGGGGAAAGCGCTAGCGCCGGCACGAACGGCTCGACGGGTGGCTCGTCGTCGTCGTCGTCGTCGTCGATCCCTTCGCCGTTCGCCTTCGTCGGGCTGGACTACTACCAGATCCTCGCCGTGCCCGTCGGCGCGCCCCCCGCCGAAATCCGCCGCGCGTACCGCGCGCTGCAGAAGAAATACCACCCGGATGTCGCGGGGGCCGAGGTGCGCTTCAAAGCCCAGCGCTTCAAAGCCCAGCGCTTCAAAGTCCAGCTTACAAATTGAGGCGCCGCAAGACACGGCTCCGCGCCGAAATCTCCAATTGTCGAGCTCTGGAGCTGTTGATCCTTCAGCGCGTCCGACAAGCGCCCGAAATGGCTCCTCTGCCCCCCTTCAGGCGAACGAGATGGGCTTTACTAAGAGCTCGACGACGCGAACGAGATGGGCTTTAAGAGCTCGACGACGCGCACGAGATGAGCTCGACGACGTGCACGAGACGCTCATGCACGACAGGCGCCGTTACTGCTGAAGCTGGGCGTTGCCGTTTCGAATCTCCAAGAGTATCCCCCCCACCTCCCCTTCTTCCCCCTCCCCATCTCCCCGCATCAGGCGCACGAGATGGCGTTGAAGCTGAACGAAGCCTGCGACACGCTTAAGGACGCAAGGTCGAGCTTCCGATGCTTCTGAATTTTCTGAGAGCCCCCTAGTACCTCCTCTCCCCTCCTCCGACGGCCACCCCCCCAGGCGCACGAGATGGCGCTGAAGCTCAACGAGGCGTACGACACGCTCATGGACGACAGGCGCCGCGCCGCGTACGAGAAGGAATGGCGCGACGCGGCCGTGGCGGGGTACGTGGGATTCACGGGGCAGGCGCGGAGCGCGTGGGCGGCGCCTGAAGGCCAACAGCAGGCGATCTTCGTGGACGAGGCGGCGTGCATCGGTATGTGAGGTGCACGGGACATGCGTGTCAGAAATAGAGGGTGTGGGGTTCACGCGGCCGTGGCGGGGTGCGTGGGAAGCAAGGGGCAGGCGCGGAGCGCGTGGGCGGCGCCGGAGGGGCAGCAGCAGGCGATCTTCGTCGATGAGGCGGCGTGCATCGGTGGGTGTGGTATTATGGGTGTGATTATAATGGCCGTGACTGTAACTGGTGTGCTCCTATGCGTCTGTGCTGATTAAACAGAGGTTCTCTTCGCTCGCCACTTTCTTTCACCCCTTTCCTCTTTCCCCTGGTCCTGTCCTCCTCGCCCCTTTTCAGGTTGCTGCGAGTGCGCGTTTGCCTCCGTGCCAGCCGCACCTTCCTCTTTGACTCTTTAGCAGCCGTCGCACGGGTGATTGCCGATCGCGTTCCAAGTGTATTCTCCCCCCCCCTCCCCACCCCGTTTTCTTCTTTCCATTCCAGGTTGTCGCGAGTGTGTGTTTGCCGCCAGCTGCACCTTCCATTTTGACTCCGAAGCGGCGGTGGCGCGCGTGCACACGCAGTGGGGGGATGCACTGCCCGCCGTCCAATCGGCGATCGACAGCTGTCCCGTCAGCTGCATCCACACTGTGCCACGTGTCGACCTCCCCATCCTCGAGTTCCTCGTGCAGGTTACCTCTATTCTGCCCTCACCTCACCCTCACCTCACCCTCCCCTCACCCTCACCTCACCCTCCCCTTCCACTCCCCTTCCCATCAAACCCCTCTTTTTCAGCCCGCTTCCCCTCCCTTTTCCTTCCATTCCCACCACATTGAACCGCATTGAACCACGCATCTGTCACACCCGTTGCATCCCAACCCATTCCCCACCGTCCCTTGTGCCCCTCGCGTCACACCAACAGCCAAGGGAGAGGGAGAGCAAGGGCATCTTTGGAGGGGGTTGGGAGCCCGGGCACCCGCTAAATATTTTCGTGGCTGCCCGGGAGTTCAAGCGCAAGCTGGAGAGCCAGCAGGAGGGGGCAGAGCGCCGGCGGGCAGGTTGGTGCGGGCAGGGTAGAGAGGGGGCTGAATGTCTGCTGAACAACCTGCTGTAATTATCTCGTTTCGGGCTTGTTCTGTTACATGACTGTGTGTTACATGTCTTGCCATACGTTACATGGCGCTGGTTTGTTACATGTACTCCAGTGCTCTCCAAGGATCATTTCTACCAACCAACCCTACCGCTCCGCACCGCTCCTCCCGCTCTCCTGCAGCCACGTCAGCAGCAGAGCAGGAGACGCCAGCTCAGCGTGCAGCCCGGCAGGCAGCAGATGCGAGGATGAATGGACTGGGGGGAGGCTTCTGGCAGAAATGGGCGCAAGCATGGGGGGCGTGGGGGGGGCCTGGAGGGGAAGCAGGTGCGGATGGGCAAGGGGGCAGCACACAGTGGGGGCAGGCGAGTGCAGCAAGCAGTGACGCAAGCAGCAGCGGGTGTAGGAGGGAGGCAGGGAGAGGGAGGGGAGAGCGAGGCAGAAAGGAGGGAGGAGGAGGAGGGAAGGAGGGGTGGTTTCCTTGGCAGGCGATGCTGGGCACGGCTGCTTCTTCCGAGATACTCAGGCAGAGAGCCAATGACGGCGACAGGGAGGAGGTGAGAGGAGGGTGGGCGACAGGGGGGGAGGGGGATGATAACGACTCACGTCAAGTCTCACCCTCCCCCTTGATTACCACCAACAGTTGGTCTTCGTAGCCTCATTTGTCGAGCACATGGGCAAGCGCTCCGAACCCCCCTTCGTTTCACACTCGTTGTCCCGTTTTACCCCACACCTTCTATCTTGCAGCTCATAGCCTTTATCCAACAGTGGGCGACCCTCTGGTCTTTTTCCTCCGAGCTGCCCCTTCCGCTGCCCGTCCGCGTGGACAACCAATCAAACGGCACCGAGTTAACCCTGGTGACCATGCGAGGCGATCTGCTCTCGTCCGTCGGATCATTTGTCATCACTGTGGAGCCGTTGGATGCTGCTGCTAGTGGTGATGGTGGTGATGGCGGTGATGGCGGTGTTGAGGGTGCGGGGGAGATGGAGTGGGTGGTGGTGGTGAGGAGGCGGGGTGCAATTGACAACCGGTCACTACCAGGAGAGGGCACGATAGTGAAGGCGCTGAGAGGAGCGCTGGAGAGGCATGACAGCATGAAGGGGTACGAGGCGTACCACCTCCCCAGGAACAGCCGGCCTGAGTAGTTGCTGTTGGGGGGAGCCTAGCCAGAGCGTGGAACTGGTTGATAGGAACACTCTCTAAACTAGATTGTATACGAAGCATTTATGTATTCTCGGGGTGTGCAGAAACATGGTACCAGGTGGGAACTTGCAGATATCAGCATGCTATATCTCTACCCGCAACACGAACCAGGTTTGCAGCACTAAATCATTGATGGAGCAGCAGGCTGGCTGGCTTCTAAAACTACTGGTTGTTGCCGGCTGCTTGTGACACACTCCAGCATGCGGAGCAAGCAGAGAGGCAGGAGAACAAGACACTTGCAGAACGTTGCGCAACAGCAGCAACTGCCAGATCGGAGGACAACGAGCCCAGCGGCATGGCAGCAGCAGCAGCAGCCAGGATGCTGCTGCTTCCATGACTACTAGTTATTGTTGGATGCTTGTACCAAGGCTTCCAGAATGCGGCATATGGCGATGGGCGTATAAACGAGGCACTTGCAGCACGTCATGCAGCAGCAGCACCTGCCAGATAGGACGACAACAAGCACATCGGCATTGCAGCATCAGAACAGGGACATGCATCAGCCGCATGCATCAGCCGCACGCATCAGCAGCACGCACAGCAAAGAAGTAATGCAGCAGCCCCACAGGAACATGCGGCCACTGGCAGCAGCCAGTGCAAACAAGGTACCCTATTCGCAACAAGCAGGGGTGAGAGCAAGTGACAAGGCTGGACAAGCAACCGGCCCGAACGAGCGACGAAGCATAGTGCGTGGTGCATGGTGCATGGTGCATGGTGCATGGTGCGTACCATGTGAAAGGGGGAAAGCAGCAGCAGCAGGGCTTTTTGATCCGCTCGTCGTCAGAAGGGCGTTGCGTTCTAACACTTCTGCTTGGATTGTTTGAAGTATCGTGCTGTTTGCAGGATGTCCGAGACGTTGGTGCCAGATGTCGTCGGGAGCGCGGTGACCGGGCGAGCGGTGGTAGATGTCGGCGTTGGAGAAGAACGCGACGACCGAGGCGGGACTTCGACAAGCTTCTCATGTGGCGGGCATAAGTTGGTCTGCTTCGGTTGGCTGTCCTCGTGTCGCTGGTGGTGGTACTCGGCTGGGTCCTGCTGCCGATACTGCAGGTGATGGTTTTGTTGGGACACATGCGGGTACTTGTCTTTCTTGTCTGATAACTGCTAATGCTCGTGTTCTTTCTGCTGCAGGTATGGTGTTGGAGTGCCAGAAGCCGTCGCTGTCGAAGTCGGGATCAAGATCTGGCGGATGAGTCCAGGCGGCGAAGGATACGATACCGTCGCTGTCGGCAGTTCCGCGGTCGGGGACGAAGTCCAACACGAAGACGGTGACGAAGCAGCTTATTCGGGGAATGACAATTCCCCTCGACACACACCCACGGGACTCCAGATTCTAGGCCTCTGGGTCTCCGTCCAGCATCCGCCGCCGCCTTCTACGCGTGAGCCTTCAACCTTGTCGCAGGCTCTGGGGGGGGAACATAAGGCAAAATGGAAAGAAGCGATGGAAAAGGAGTTAAAAGCTCTGCAAGACCGAGAAACATGGAAACTGGTACCTGCAACGAGCATCAACGGGAAGAACGTTCTCTCGGGGAAATGGGTGTACCGCATCAAGACCAACTCAGACGGCTCTATCGAACGATTCAAAGCTCGATGGGTCGTACGAGGCTTCGATCAACGATACGGAACCGACTACACAGAAACCTTCGCCCCAGTCTCCCGTCACACCTCATTACGCATCCTACTCGCCGTCGCGGCCACAAAAACACTACCACTACGCCAAATCGATGTCGCGAATGCGTTCCTATACGCACCTGTGGACGCTGAGATCTTCGTCGAACAACCCCACGGATTCATCGACGACCCCACGAAAATATGCCGACTGACAAAATCCCTATACGGGATCAAGCAAGCCCCGCGGCTCTGGCAGCAGCATCTTCACAGCCGTCTCGTAAAAATCGGCTTCCTACAGCTGCCGCATGACCAAGGGATGTACCGACTGCAGAAGGGAAGAGAGTATGTTCTGCTCATCGTCTACGTCGACGACCTGCTCTACATCGGCTCAACTACCGACATCGCCACCTGGTTCGAAGGGGAGCTGAAAGAAGATTTAACTCTCACGGTGTCCGACGAAGTTACGCAGTACCTAGGACTGAACGTCGTCGAAGACGACACGGCGTTCTACCTACACGCTGGAAAGTACTCAAGCACCGTCGCGAAGAAATTCGCTCTAACACCGACTGCGGTCCCAACTCCCTACCGCTACGGGAACAACGGCAGCGCCTCTACAAAACTCCCCGCGAAACAAATCCAGGAGTATCAACAGAAGCTCGGCTGCCTACTATTCGCAGCAGTAACCTGCCGACCCGACCTATCCTATAGTGCGAGTCAGCTGGCGACACATCTGAAGCATCCGCAACAGGAAGATCTCGAAGAACTCAATCGAGCGCTACTCTACTTCGTCTCCACGCCGACGATCGGGCTTACCTACAGCAAGGCAACAACACCGTCCGTACGACTACTCGGATACGTCGACGCCGACCACGCGGGAGACAGCGAAAATCGACGGTCTAGGACGGGCTACATCTACCGACTAGAACCTATCGGAACTATCTCCTGGCAGTCGAGCAAGCAGGAGTTAATCGCACTATCCTCGGCTGAAGCAGAGTATATCGCCCTTTGTACTGCGACCAAGGAAGGACTCTACCTACGAGAGTTACTCGAAGAAGCGAAGATCGCGACCCTGCCCGCCTTCTCACTCCTCTGCGACAACCAATCTGCGATCAAAATCGCGAACAAGGACGGCTTCGCCAATCGAACCAAGCACATCGCCCTGCGGTACTTCTTCGTCAAGGATGAAATCGCGAAGGGGAGACTTCAACTCAGTTACTGCCCGACGACAGAAATGGCCGCAGATTATCTGACGAAGAAATTGGCGAAAGCAAAATTCGACTACTGCATGCTCCTAACCGGGCAAACAAACGCCACCGGATCTGAACACTCCAGCACTCCAGAAACGAAGGGGAGTGTTGGAAATATCTCAAGGACTTAAGCGTTTCTGAAGTGTAACACTGTACTCGAGGAAGATTACAGGGGAGCACGCGAGTCAACGGAGGTTACACGAGGGGGCGGACAAAGAATGCGAAAGGACTCGAAAGGTCGCAACTGGAGGTTGCGACTGACCGTTACAACATCACGGATGGTAACCGAAGCGGCAATCGAGTCGCTGTGCGACTCGATAAACCGTTCCTGTAACTGTATTCTACAACTGCTTTCTTATCTACTATATATTGCTGTATGCTTGTTTCTTTAATCAATCACTTGTTCTCACATACTAGTACAAGGGTTCAACTGCCTCAACTTCCGCTGCACTACTCCAAGTCTCAAGTCTCTACAGCTGGGACTTAGTCTCTGCAAAAGATCCTAAGGGTTTTTCGCAGTTGCTGGTTGTTGATGGAGTGTAGTTGCTGGGAGTTTTGATCTCTGACCAGCTCTCATACCATGTTGGGCTGAGAAAAACCCTTAGGATCTTTTGCAGAGACTAAGTCCCAGCTGTAGAGACTTGAGACTTGGAGTAGTGCAGCGGAAGTTGAGGCAGTTGAACCCTTGTACTAGTATGTGAGAACAAGTGATTGATTAAAGAAACAAGCATACAGCAATATATAGTAGATAAGAAAGCAGTTGTAGAATACAGTTACAGGAACGGTTTATCGAGTCGCACAGCGACTCGATTGCCGCTTCGGTTACCATCCGTGATGTTGTAACGGTCAGTCGCAACCTCCAGTTGCGACCTTTCGAGTCCTTTCGCATTCTTTGTCCGCCCCCTCGTGTAACCTCCGTTGACTCGCGTGCTCCCCTGTAATCTTCCTCGAGTACAGTGTTACACTTCAGAAACGCTTAAGTCCTTGAGATATTTCCAACAGCAGCATCAGAACAGGGACATGCATCAGCCGCATGCATCAGCCGCACGCATCAGCAGCACGCACAGCAAAGAAGTAATGCAGCAGCCCCACAGGAACATGCGGCCACTGGCAGCAGCCAGTGCAAACAAGGTACCCTATTCGCAACAAGCAGGGGTGAGAGCAAGTGACAAGGCTGGACAAGCAACCGGCCCGAACGAGCGACGAAGCATAGTGCGTGGTGCATGGTGCATGGTGCATGGTGCATGGTGCGTACCATGTGAAAGGGGGAAAGCAGCAGCAGCAGGGCTTTTTCTCCTCCCCTTTCTCCGCCTCCTCCCCACTCTCCTGCACCTTCCCTGAAGGTGGAGGGTACTGGGAGAATTCACACGGCTGGCCAGCAGGAGGCGCGCAACCAGCAGGGGGGGGCGGGTAACCAGCAGAGGGGGGCGGGTAACCAGCAGAGGGAGGCGGGTAAGCAGCAGAGGGAGGCGGGTAAGTAGCAGGCGGAGCGTAACCGGCAGGGGGCAAGCCTCGGGAAGGGTAGACGAGGATCGGTCCGTTCTGAAACTCCCCCGGCGGAGAGGCAATGTGGCTCACTTGAGCAGTGCTTGCAGGATAGCCTGAATGGAAAGGGTAGGCGGGGAGGGTGGTAGGGAGGATGCTGAGCACAACTCCCAATAAGTTGATTCAAATGTGTGTATGTGTGTGTGTGTATGTGTGTGTGTGTGTGTGTGTGTGTGTGTGTGTGTGTGTGTGTGTGTGTGTGTGTGTGTGTGTGTGTGTGTGTGTGTGTGTTTTCCGGGTACAGAATGCCCTGCAGTTGTAGGCGATTCGGCACATGCTCAGTCAATGCTCAGCCAAAACGCAGTCAGTGTTCAGTCAATGCGCAGTCAATGCGCAGTCAATGATTAGTCAGTGCTCAGTCAATGCTCAGTCAATGCTCATTCAATGCTCAGTCAATGCTCATTCAATGCCCATTCAATGCTCAGTCCATGCTCAATAAATGCACGCTTGAAATTACACCATCCTTGCAATTCGGAGTGGCAGTCTGACTGACCTTGTGGGGGTGGAGCGCAGACGGCGGGTTGGTTGAGTACTCCAGGCGCCATGATGCAAGGCGCAATGCCCCTGATGTCGACACTGTCTGAAGCCGCGACTAGAGACAGCCGCAGGAGGTGTATACTATGGCGAATGATGTAGTCCTCAGGTGGACGCAAAAAGCGGGTGGGTGCAAAACGCGGCTGTAAGCGAAGCGTGAAGCTCTCACTACTCCGTAGGTAGCTGACAAGATGCTGTAGGCAAGAGGAGATGGAAAAGAAGCAAGAATACACGAAGCACGCGGATGAGAGATCTGAGGTTTCGAGTGGGGCTGCTCGCACTTTGTAGAGGTGCTCTTGTCTGTCTGCTGGTTTGTGCTCATGCAGCAAGATTCAGGCATGGAGTTGATGGAGTTTCCACGTGGGGGAAGGCAGCTGGGAGAGGTGAATTTTGGGAGATGATGGATCATGCCGTCGGAGAGGTGCGGTTGCGATTAATTTGTTGCCGCTGATCTGCTTGCTCGCGCTGACTCGAATTGACCGCAGCGTGTGAATGCCCATCGTGGAAATGTCGAAGCAAACAACTCTGCAAAATCGAGGCGCGTTTCCGAAATTGCGTTTTGCCCGGACGAAAGCGAAATCAGCGAGGAGCGCAACTCCATTCCTTCGCTCACAGGTGTTACCTACACCTGATAGCCAGGAAGTGTACATGTGGGCTCTACAGCTTCTCAGGTGTTATCTTGTAGCGAGTTTTACCTTTCCCGGCGACGTGGCACTCAGCCAGTCACCAGCAAAAATATGCTACGTGGCGGCAGATCCCGATTCTTGGTCCACATCGCTCACTACCTTCGCTCCACGCCACATGCTCATTCCCGCTTTATTGCTTTGCCTCGATTTAGTGGTCAACACTTTGCACTCTATCTCCACACGACTTCTATTTCCACGCTCAGTTCCATTTCTACCTCTTCGCTCATCACCTTCTTTCTCCTTGCCTCAGCAGGCACTAGCGCTTATCACGGCACCCTCTCACGTCCTCCGCGCCCCGACTCGACTGGCATGCTCTCGCACCTCCTCGCACTCCTTTCATTCCTCTTCCGCTGCGCGCGAGCAATTGTGCTCTTATCCCTCGTGCTTCTATCGGACGCGTTCGGCTTCCGTCCCGCCACCCGTGTTCTGACGCAGTGGGAGGAGTGGTTCCGCCGCCTCGAGCATCACGGGGCCGATTCTAACTGCTCTAATCGCTCGTCAAGCCACTTAGGGGACGCACAAAACGCAAGGACTGCTGCTGACGGCTGTACAGGGGTCACAGGAACCACAGGGGTTGCTGACGGTAGCAGTCGGGTGACAGGTAGCGCAGGGCCGGCAGACGGCAGCGTCGCCATGACGGCCATGGCGCATCGCCTCTGCGGCCGATGTGTCTCCTCCTCCTCCGCCGCCCTCCCCGCAGCATTTCCCGCCGCCAAATCCGCCGCCTTCCCCGCCGCGACTCACGCTCTCCACTCACACCTATCCACCACCGCCACCAGCACCAGCACCTCCGCTCCCTGCCGCCCTTCCCCCGCTGCGCTCCATAACTCTCGCGCAATGGCCAATTACCCGCCGCCACGTGGCGCCAAGGCGTGGTGGTACCAGCCGTGGCTGGCGCACTCCGTCGTCACTGGTGCGCGCAGGCTGCTCCCCGGGGGGGGCGGGGGAGGCCTGGGGGGAGCGGGTGCGGGGGGAAGGCGCTACGTGGGGACGGTTCCGCCCGCGGCTGGAGGGAGGGGAGTGGGCATGACGCGATGCGAGGGGGGAGGGAGCATGTACACGTGGCCGGATAAGACGGTAAGCAGGGGAGTTAGACCATTCGAGAGCCTGGAGCTGACGTCAGCTTATCACGCCCGTCATTTCCTCCCTCTCCCAACCACTCGCCCTTCTCCTCCCCCTCTTCTCCTCCCCCTCTTCTCCTCCCCTCTTCTCCTCCCCCTCTTCTCCTCCCCCTCTTCTCCTCCCCCTTTTCTCCTCCTCCTCTACTCCTCCCCCTCTCCCTCCCCTCTCCTCCCGCCTTCCCCCTCCCCAGCGCCCGCGCGTGTGCATTCTGGGCGGGGGCTTCGGGGGCCTGTACACGGCTTTAAGACTCGACTCGCTGCTGTGGACGGACGAGCAGCGCCCGCAGGTGCTGCTCGTGGACCAATCGGAGCGCTTCGTGTTCAAGCCGCTGCTGTACGAGCTGCTCACTCAAGGTACCCCCCTGCCTGCCGTGCCTGCCGTGCCTGCCGTGCCTGCCGTGCCTGCCCTCCCCCGGCCTCCTTGCCCCTCTTGCCCCCCATACCCCCCATGCCCGTTGCCCTTCTTAAGGTTCCCCATGCCCCACTGCCCCACTGCCCCACTGCCCCACTGCCCCACTGCCCCACTGCCCCACTGCCCCACTGCCCCACTGCCCCACTCTCAAGGGATGGCTTCTTAAGTTTCCGTACTTTGTGCCTCTCTCTCCCTGTCCTTCCACCAGACGTGACTGTATGGGAGATAGCGCCCAAATTCTCGGAGCTCCTTAGAAGCACGGGTGTGACGTTCCTGCAGGATGGGGTGCAGGCAGTGGATGTGGGCGGACACGTGGCAGATGATTCAGTGTCAGCGACAGGTGGACGCGTGCGATTGGCTTCTGGTGTGGAGGTGGAGTATGACTGGTAAGTCCAGTTGCATCTATCCTGTTCCCATGGTCAACTCAGCTGCACTCTTTCTCGCTGCTTCACCTCATCTGTCCAGTCCACCTCCTCTCTCCCTCCCTCACCCCTCGCTTTTCTCTTCCCACCTCCTCTCTGCAGCATCATCACTCATCATTTCGTAGGTGATTTTTGAGACGACTCAAGAATCTCCTCTGCGTCATCATCACCCATCATTTCCCCCCCATCCATCTCTCCCCCCCCCCCCTCACCTGCCTCGTCCCCTGTCAGGCTAGTGCTAGCGCTGGGCGCGCGAACCAACATGGCCTTCGCTCCGGGGGCTAAGGGGCGAGCTCTGCCCTTCAGCACTCTGGACGATGCCCTGGTATGGTGTGGTATGGTGTGGTGTAGTATGGTTGGGTATGATGTTGTCGGGTATTGTGTTTTCATGCCATCCAAACTAGTTGTTGCAGCTGATGGAAGCAACATTATTGCCATGGCAGGCAGCTGAGGCAGGCACCCACCTCTCTCTCCCCACCTCCCTCCCGCCTCCCAGCAAGCAGGCGGTGGGACGTAACCAAGGGGGAAGGGAGCACCGCACCTCCCACACGATTTCTGACCATCTCTCTCCCTCTCTCCCCCTCCCCCCCACTCCCCCTACCCCCCTCTCCCCCTCCCCCTCTCTCCCCCTCCCCCCTCTCCCCCTCCCCCCTCTCCCCCTCCCCCCCTCTCCCCTCCCCCCTCTCCCCCTCCCCCCCTCTCCCGCTCTCCCCCTCTGCCCCTCTCCCCCTCTTCCCCTCTCCCTCTCTTCCCCCCAAACAGGCGGTGGATCGTCGTCTCTTGTTGCTGGAGAAGCGGTGGGATGCAGCCAAGGGGGAAGGAGGGAGCACTCCCCCCCCTATCCGTGTGGTGGTGGTGGGGGCGGGGTATGCGGGGGTGGAGCTGGCGTGCACAGTGGCGGAGAGGCTTGGCGGGAGAGGGACGGTGGAGATCGTCGACCCCGCTGCTGCCGTGTGCCCTGCTGCTGCCGCTGGCAACAGACGCGCTGCAGAGAGGGTAGGTTGTTCAGTGGGCATGTGTGCGCATGTGTGTGCATGTGGGCGCATGTGTCCGCATGTGGGCGAATGTGTCCGCATGTGGGCGCATGTTTGCGCATGTGTGCGCATGTGGGCGCACGTGTGTGCATGTGCGCGCATGTGTGTGCATGTGTGCGCATGTGGGCGCATGTGTGCGCATGTGGGCGCATGTGTGCGCATGTTGCGCATGTGTGCGCGTGTGCGCGTATGTGCGCATGTGTGAGCACGTGTGCGCATGTGCGCGCATGTGTGTGCATGTGTGCGCATGTGTGTGCATGTGTCTGCGTGTGTGCGCTGTGTGCATGTGAGCCCATGTGTGCGCATGTGAGTGCATGTGAGCGCATGTGAGTGCATGTGTGCGCATGCCTGCGCATGTGTCTGCATGTGTCTGCATGTGTGTGCATGTGTGTGCATGCATGGGCATGTGTGTGCGTGTGTGTGCATGTCTGCCTTGGCGACAGTTTGCTGATATCTCTGACTGCCCTGTCAAAATCTCGGAAGGGAAGGCCCTTACATGTAGCCCTCCTGCCTTTTGTCTTCCTTCCTCTTAAATCGGGGCTGCCCCTCCACGTAGTCCTCCTGCTTTTGAGTCGATTCACACGTCACCTTCCACGTGGAGGGGCTGCCCCTCCATGCCGTCCACCAATGCAGGTGGAGAGGAAGGGATCCTCACTTTCACTCCCACCTTTCTGCCCTTCACCGTTCTCAACCGATCTCACCTTCCAGGCCCTGAAGGAGAGGGGGGTGCATCTGCGGCTGACCAGCAAGGTGACAAGCGTTGCTGATGCTGCTCAATCCTCATCCCCCTCCTCCTTCTCAACCACTCACGCACAGTCAACACAACCAGATACCACCCCCTCCCATGCGGCTGACCCTTCCTCCTCATCATCGTCATCTTCGGCCGACCCTTCTCCCTTCGCCGTTCCGGCTTCCCTCCTCAGCCTGGAGTCAGTGTCGCCCAGTAGCAGCAAGAATCAAGTCGAGCATCAAATCGAGGCGGACATTGTGCTCTGGACGGTGGGGAGCTCCCCGGTGCTTCCTGCTGTGGATTCACCAGCACCAGCACCAGCAGCACCAGCAGCAGCAGCAGCAGCAGCAGCAGGGGAGGCAGTGTCACAGTGGTTACAGAGGACAGCAAGGGGGCAGGCGGACGTGGAGGAGAGCCTGCAAGTGAAGGGTCTCAAGAGGGTGTTTGCTCTTGGGGATGCTGCATGCGTGCTGGATGGAAATAGCCGGCCGCTGCCTGCCACAGCTCAGGTGAGAGCTGTCAGGTGGTGCTCAGGTTTGTCAGGTGGCCTGACTTGTCAGTTACAGGTGTCCAATGAGATGTTTAATGTGCCGTATGCCCAGGCGCTACTATAATATTTTAGTGCCCCAGTGCCCCAGTGCCCCAGTGCCCCAGTGCCCCAGTGCACCAGGGCCCCAGTGCCCATATGCCCCAGTGCCCCAGTGCCCCTGTGCCCCTGTGCCCCAGTGCTCCACTAGTCATCCTTTCTGCCCACAATGTTATCATATTTATTACCACAGGTGGCATTTCAGCAGGCAGATTATGTTGGGTGGAACATTTGGGCAGCCATCAACAATCGTCCCCTGCTGCCCTTCAGGTATCAGGGCCTCCCTTCTCCTGCTTCCAGGTAGTCCTCTGCTGCTTCCATTTAATCCTCTGCTGCTTCCAGGTAGTCCTCTGCTGCTTCCAGGTGTCCTCCAGCAGCTTCCACGTTGGCATGTTTTGGGCTTCATATCCTCTTAGACCAATCAATACAAAGCAACATTTTTCCCATGACATTCGGCCAACTATTCCGTGGGCCGCTCTGCAAATGCCATTGTTACTCCTCCTGTCACTGCATCTGGCGCTTCCCTCCTCAATTCTCATGTATCGGCACAATGGTCCCCCTTACGTGCATCGCCCCCCCAGGTACCAGCATTTGGGCGAGCTGGTGCTGCTGGGATCCAAGGATGCTGCAGCGTCTGTCGGCTTCATTGACGACTTCCTAATCGAGGGGCGAGCAGCGCACACAGGTGAACTGCTGCTCCTTGGAACTTTTGCTTGCCTCACAGTACTCTTGCATCTCTTGATGCTCCTTCATTGCGCTCCTCACTTGTAAAACATGCATCCCAAATTGCTCAAACGCACTGCATATGAACTTTGAGCTGAGGTTGCACGAAACACCCTAAAGAATCGCAAGGGTGTTTCAGCTCGCGAATTGGAAGTAGTTTGTGGGCCGTCAGATTTGCAAATACACAGTTTGACATCTGGGATTAGATCCCGAATCGACTGGGGGGGGGTGTGGATTTCGCGCTGTCCGATGGGAGTCTGCAAAACAATGGACGGACAGAAAACGCCGGGCACTTGGTGTTCCAGAATAGCCTCCGCGCTGAACTTGAACGGCACCCCTGAGTGACGAGAGTCACATTACCCCCCCTCCACCCCCGAAAACACAAATTTCAAACGCAGTGCGTTTAAAGGCTGCCGCCCCTAATTTGGGATGCGGGTTTTAAGCATTTGCATTTGCTAGGTTGCGATTCCTGCTTGCCTACTGACAGGTGTCTACCAAGTTGCTAGTTGCTTATCCACTGTGGCACTCACGTCCATCTGTTCTTCCTCACATTGCTATCTCCCCTCCCCTGTGTTTAGCACGCAAGCTAGCGTACCTGTACCGACTGCCGACCAACGAGCATAGGGCACGAGTCGGGGTGAGCTGGCTGACACGTGCCATTGTGGATGGCATCTCAGAGGCACAGAATTTTATAGCTGCTGCCACTAATCCTCAAGCAGAGAGCAAATGAGTGGTGATTCTCTTTATAATTTTGGTACCTATGTGTCGGTGCAGCTGGGTAACCCACTTGTGTACACAACACATACCTACTTGTTGGTCCGTCATGCATGTGTACAAGCTGCTGCTGTATTACAAAACCCATAAGCACTACTGTATGAGTGTGGATAGAAGACTCATGTCATGGTTCTTATAATCGAAACCATCGTAACTTCACAAGTCAATACCAGGAAAAGTTATACCAGACTTCTGGCAAGCGTTTTCATAGGGAAGGCATCACAAAGGGGGCAGCTTTTTTGTCGGCAATAATGAGGGTAGACACGAGTGAACCACCAAGGGAGGAACGAGGGTGTGGAGTGCTACCATCCCAGCCGTCTATCGAGCTGTGATATCAGTACCATGGATACATTCGAGGAACACCTGTCAGAAACAATTGTCACAAGCCAGAAACACCTGTTACGAGTCGCGTCAGAAACACATGTTTCCTGTTAGAATACTAGAATGAATTAGGAACAAGTGTGAAACTATGAACTAGGACGCCATGAAAGTGGCGTGAGGTTTTAGGAGCTAGGAGAACTAGGAGAGCGAGATTTGACGAGAGAAAAGAGGACTAGAAAAGACAAGAGAGGGATACAAGGAGGGGTGTTGTACCCTCTACAGTAATGTTCAGTAACGTCTACCAAGCCTACAATTATATACTAACATATATAATTTAACACACCCCCTAGGCTTGGTAGCAGAAGGACCCACACACCCCCACACACCCTAACCTAGCACCCCCATTCCCAGCAGCCACGACTACTCCAGCAGGGCCAACCCCAAGGCCCTGGAGATGGCAACGGTGGCAGTCTCGGCAGCGGCGACAGCGACGGCGACGGCGGCGGCGTGCGGTGGCAACAGGCCTGCGGCGACGACAACGGTGACGGCGACGGCTTCGGCTTACGACTGCGGAAACGGCAGCGGCCCCCGCCCTTTCGGCGGCGTGTCCAAACTCCGCGACAGGGGGACGACAGGCGTGAGTCAGGCGGCGGCTGTGGTGAAGAGGAGGAGACAGAGGGGGGGGGGGAAGGGGCGGGGCTTCGGATCTTCAGCGTGGCGCCATTGCTAGCGCGGCGCTTACTGGCGTGCGGGCGGGCTGCAATTCCAGCAGCGACGCAGGTGGTGCGCGACGGCAACAGGCCGACGACATTGCCACGGCACCACTACGACTCCTCCACAGCGTGGCGTCGGAGCCGCGGCTGCTCGTCGACGCTGAGACGACAGCACACAGAGGCCGCCAGCACCTGACAGGTCAGCACCAGGATGGGCATTCCCTGGCTATGCATGTTGATGGCTTGCTTTCTTGCCCCTCCGCCCCTGATCCCCTCCTTGCTGTCCCCACCACTGCTGAGAGTGAGGCCTTTGCTGCTGCTGCACTCACTCGCGCTGTCAGGGATTCTCGCGATGATGTAGCGCAGCTTGCCATTAGTCATGCGCTTCCCCTTTCTGAGTGTCCGTGTTTCACAACTGTCGTGAGCGCCAAGGATTTCCTAGATGCTGTAGTTGACTGCTACTCCACGCATGCCTCCGCCTTAGCTGGCCGCATGATCCTCCCCATGCTCTTCCGCGATCTCTCTGCTTTCCCCACTTTTGCTGATCTTGCCATTCACCTCCATACACTAGAGACTAGCTACCGTGTTGCTAGCACCACTGCCCAGCTCACTGCCTTCCCCCCACCATTCTGCGCTATCCTGTACCTTATTTCTATGCGCCTCCCTGATCGCCTAGCCACTGCCCGCGACCCCTTTCTTAGCCAGCACCCAGGTGACCTCACCCTGACCGCCTTTCTCGCTGCCCTTTCTGAGATAGAGACTCACCAACGCACTATCGCTCAGTCGAGCGGTATTGCGGTAGTCCCTATCTTTTAGGGCTTTGCTCCCTCCCAGTGCACGTACGCGGACATCTCTGCTGCGGTCGCTACAGCTGCTCCTCCTCCTCAGACCGCAGTGGCAGCCTTCCCGCAGCAGCAGCGCCAGCGTCAGGGCTGCCACGGCCCCAAGGGAGGGCGTGGTGGTGGTGGTGGCGGCGACAATGGCTCTGATGAGGGGGCTAGGGCAGGCGTCCAGGAGCAGCAGCAGCCGCAGCAGTCGCAGCAGCAGCAGCAACCACCGCAGCGGCAGCAGGAGCAGTAGCCGTGGGCCCGCCTCCCGCCAGGGTGGCCCGGAGCCCTTGGAGCTGGTGGCCGAGGTGGTGGTCCTCGCAACTCGGCGTCTACCGGCGGTCTCGGTGCAGTCGGCTGCCAGTACCAGCTCCAGACCGGGCCCCTCCGTGGCATTGTGTGTCGCCGCTCGCACCCGACTGCCCGCTGCTTCCGCCACCTCCCCGTCGTCGCTTCGGCCCGGCTCCCGACCTCTCTGAGTGGCCCAGCCAGCTGCGCCACAGTGTGCCAATTTTTGACTTAGACATGGATCAGATTAGTTGTGCCTTGCATTCTCTGTATGCTGACGCTTCTAGTGTGTCCGGATCTTATTACCATGTGTTCTCTAAATAGGCGTAGTACCTGCGTGTCGTACAGACTCCCCTGTTGCGTCAGGCGTAGGACCATTTGCTTTGTCTAGCCTAGGCTCGACACTCGCTCTTTCTTCGTCTGCTGCTACTGCTTCGCTGTCCTTCACACTTGACTCCGGTGCGTCTGTCTGCTTCTTCTGCGACCACGCCGCACTCACACCACTTGCCGCGCCTGCCACTGTCGCACTTGCTGACCCCTAATCTGGCCCTGTTGTTGCTCGCAGCTAGACCACCCTCCCTTGTCCAGCGCTCCCCTCAGGCTCCCTTACATGCCTCCACATCCCCTCGTTCTCTAGGAACTTAGTTGGTGTCGGCTGTCTTCAGAACCTCGGCGTCACCACTACGTTCCCGGGTCACGAGCGGTACGCCGTCTGTACCGAGGCTGCCTCAGGTTCCCCCTTTACGACGTTCCTCCGCGACCCGTTTTCTGGCCTCTTTACGCTCGATACTATTTTCCCCCCTGGTGGAACGTCCATTCCGAGCCCTGCGTCTACTCAGGTCGCTGCTGCATGCTCGTGTCGGTCGCTCGCTCACCCGTCGCTTCTGTGGCACCACTGCCTCACTCCCGCGTCTGCGTCACATGTCCCAGCACGGTCTCGTCCTAGGTCTCCCTGCGTCGCTTCCTGCCCTCCCTCCCTCGCCTGCGCTATCGTGCACGCCCTGTGTCGAGGGCTAGCTGCGCCGTGCTCCTCACTCCTCCTCGCTTCGCCCTGCCACTGCACCCCTTCAGACCCTGCACCAAGACGTCTGGGGTCCAGCCCCCGTCCCCGGACCGCGTCGCGAGCGCTACTTTCTAGTGCTCGTGGACGACTACACGCGTTACACCACGGTGTTTCCCTTGGAGCGGAAGGCCGACATGCATGACGTTCGCATCCCGTGGGTCGTGGCTGCCCGCCTATACCGCGGTCTCTCTGTGTTGTGTCTGCACTCCGACCGTGGTGGCGAGTTCGCCTCTGGTCGGCTTGGACAGTTCTGTCGTGCGGAGGGCATCACCCAGTCGTACTCCCTACCGGACTCCCCGCAACAGAATAGGGTCGCTGAGCGCCGTATTGGCTAGGTCATAGAGGTGGCGCGTACTTCCATGATTCATGCCGGTGCACCCCATTTTCTGTGGCCGTTCTCCGTTCGCTACGCTGCTCACCAGCTTAACCTCTGGCCGCGCTCCCGACTGCCGCATATTTCGTCGACCCTTCTTTGGAGGGGGTTCCTTGGTGACGCGTCCGCGTTCCACGTCTGGGGCTGCCTCGCTCTCGTCCGTGCCTCAGACACGGACCAGCTACCTGCCCGCACTGTCCCCTGTGTCTTTCTCGGTTTTCCTGTGGACTCGTCTGACTGGCACTTTTACCACCCGCAGTCTCACCGCTTCCTTCACTTCCGTGACGTCACCTTCGGCGATTCTGTCTCCTTTTACCGCCGCTTTCCCCACCGAGGTGTCCTAGTTTCCCCCACCCTGTTTTTGGTCCCCACTCCCCCGGTTGCCCAGGCTCCCCTTCCTCCCCGCCCTGCTCCGTCTGGTGTGTCTCACGTTACTCCCCCCCCCGTCGGTTCTCCCGGTCGAGGAGTCGGCTGACTCTGGTGGCCCTGCGGCACCATTCCCGCTGCCTATCTCCCACCCGGTGTCTCCCCCTTTGCCGTCGCAGTTGCTGCCGCCACAGCAGCCGTCGCCGTCGCCGCGGTTGCCACCACCGCCGCAGCTGCCACCACCGCTGCAGCAGCAGCAGCCGCCGCCGTCGCAGCAGCAGCCGTTCGTGGACTCTGGCGGTGATGGCGTTGAGGAGGGTGCTAGTCCTTGGGTTCCTGTCGTGGCTTGTCCCGGCGGCCTCGGGGGTGGCACCGGTGCTGGAGAGGGTTATCGCTCTGGGGGTGCTCGTTCTGGGGGTGCTGTAGTGGAGTGTTATGGAGGGAGTCACGTTGCAGCTTGCGGTCCCGGCGTCAGCGTTGAGCAGCAGCAGCAGCAGAAGCCGACACCGGTGTCTGCCCTTCGCCTGCTCGGCCTTCCCTCCCCTGACCGCTCGCCTGCGCTTCCCTCGCCACCTCCTTCCCTACCTATTCACGGCTCTATGTTTCCTTTGTCGGACTCGTTCCCGGCTCGTTTCACTCGTCTCCTGACCCGACGCCTCCATCTCACGTCTGGTCTCGCCGTCCCTCTCGTGCTCGCCCTATCTCTCCTTTTCAGCGCTCTCACCCTATGTTGCTTCGTTCCCACGTGTCTCGTCCTCCCCTCATGCCTTGGCCTCCTCCATCGTCGCTCGCTGTCGCCCCCTCCACCTCTGTCTAACAACCTTCGTGCTGCTCGTCTTCTTGTTCCTCAGGTCCTTGCCTCCCTGTTACCGACCCGATTGTCCCTATTTCCTATCTTGATGCTCTTGTCGCTGCTGTCGCTGATTTCGCCTCTACCCGCCGCCTTGACTACGCCACCACTCTGGTCTCTGACCCTACTTGTCCTCCGTCCATCGGGGGTGCTCCTTCCCTTAGCAGTGACGTCCTAGAGGACGGGCAGTACAAGCTCTCTTTCCTATCCGAGGCTGCTTCCCATCTCTGCTCCATGCTGCTAGTCCCTGAGGTTGACCCAGACGCCTTCGACATCCTGGCCCCTCGCACTTCGTTCATGGTGGCCAGACCCCGTTCT